TCTACAAATGATTTGTAGAGAACAGTTTTTCTATCATATAGATGTATAAAGAAACATTATCTGGGAATATGTATATATATGAAATCTCTACAAACCATTTGTAGAGAAAAGTGTTGGCAATTGTTTCCCCAAATGTTTCGACATTTCCCAAGAAATTCCAACATTTGTTTGCTGATTTGTGACAATTCGATTCAATTCAATGTTGTTCATTGGAGCACCTGTGCTGCAGTGACTGTTCAAAGTCCAAGAAAGTTGGGTTGCGCGCAGCGTTGCCTTGCGATGGCCTCCGGCAGCGAAGATGACCAGGCAGACCAGACGGCGCCGAGCGACCTAGGCTGTACTAGCTCTGCTGGTGCCAAGTGGCCCATATCGGTGGCTCACAGCAAACCTTGTCAATGCTGTCTGTGTTCTGCCAAAAGCACAGACCCAAACCCACTGGCACAGGACCCAGGTGAGGTAGAGGATATGCTTGCCACCAGGCCTTGGGCCAAGTACAAAGATTCTCTTTGTTGAAGTGGCAAAACCGCCAAGAATTATGCTAGGTAGAGAGGCGCTGATCTTTCAAGGCTTTCCAGTTGAGCCCTTCTTGAAACAGGTGGCTGACAAACACATTGACATTCATCAGCCCGCAAGAAAGGGCAAATCAAGCAAGCGGTCTACTCAGTCCAGAAAGTGGTTGACGGAGGGGCTGATGACTGACTTAGCTGGGAACGCGATGGCTCTGCCAGTGTTGCTTGCCATTACCCAGAGCGCAGTAGCATCTTTGCTTTTTAGACCAGCTGACAGCGCAGCTACTACAGAGGAAACAGACAACGCCCTTGCAGCGCTAGGCGTCCTTCTAGGCTCAGAGACTTAAACCGAAACAGGCTTTGCCTTGGTTTTGGCCTTGCGCAGTTCGCTTCAACTGAGGCTTTGCTTCAAGAAGTATCACTGTTGACTTGACTTTGAGCCTAGCTAGTGTGAAAAAATGCGGCAGGTCTTGCGGCTGGGCGAGGCTTAACCGAACCTCCTCTGCTGGCTGAAGTATGTAGGGGTAGGGGTCCTCAGGCTCGAACTGGCTGCAAAAACTGCAGAGGCAGTAGGCTTGAAGGTCTGTGCCAGGGTCCACTGCATGGGTGGGAGCAGTTTCTGGTGGACCTAGAAAAATAGATTGAGTCAGATTGAGATTTTAAACTCTAACGTTTTAAATCTAATAACTACTGTATAAGATTGTTCTGAACAATGAACTAGGTGGCAGCGCTATCTAGTCCAATATGGTGCGACAGGCCACAGGCCATGGGCCCATAGGCGGTTTGACCTGAGCCTAGTGCAATTTGAGCTGGTCACAATTCAAGGCTTTAGTTTACCCAGTCAGCTGGTGGCTGGTGGCAGTTTTTCCCAGGCGCAGCTCTTCGCTTTCCATGTTTCTTTTGGCTTCAGGACGCCGGCCTTTCTTGTTGTGACTTCCTGCTTTCTGTTTTGCCCGCTGCGCCTCTTTGCCATGTTGCAGCTTGCAATGGGAGACTGGCTCTTGCTCGGCTTAGCTTTGTCATTCCTCTTGAACTGTGGCTTTGTAATTGGGATTGGGGTTCTACTTTGTTGCCATTCTTCAGCTGCTTCCTGTAGCAAACCTGGTAATGGCAGAAACCCTTCGAAAGGGCCCTGCACGTGTTTGCAAGATTCAGGGCTCAGCCCATGTGACAACGATCTGCCAACAGGAGCACACAGCAAAAAGCATGATGATTTTGATTCTGCGGTTCATCTGGCTGCATCAGCGTATGTACTCCACTTTCAAGGCTCTGATGTGTACCACTGTACAGCCAACTGTCAGCATATTAGACGAAGGGGTGCTGGCAAAGCTCAGCAACTCAGGCCCTGCAAGCATTGCGCACAGCAGGGCTGATGCAATACCGATACCTGTATTTGGACGGAAAAAATAGCTGCTGGAGCTGCGGCTGACCCTGCTAGGTCCTATCAGGGTTGCAACCAAGAGAACAACTATCAGATGTTTTGTTGGCTAATGGGTCCAGGCTGGTGCGCTTGTCTGTTTTTGGACTAACTGTGGTTCCATTGGCTGCAGTCGAATTGAAACCCTTGAGGGGCTTGAACAAAAGCTCACACACATGTGGAAACAAGTTTCATCCATCAAATCAGCGCTTGCGCCAATACTATCTTGAAGGAAGTAGCAGAAAAGGCTACCGCTTCGACATAATTGCGGAGAAAAGTGTTTCACATATTGATACCAGTGCTAGAACAAGATGCAGCACTGCAGCACTCGTTTAAAGTTGGAAGCAGTGCCAAAACAAAACAATTTCAAACAATGGCACAAAAAAAACAACTTCTAAAATGACTGTTAGTAAATTGAAAAACATGTTGAAAGATTTTCAACAAGACCCAAAACAATTGAAACAATTGCTGCAAATTTTCAACAATTTTGGAAACAATTGAAACAACTGCTACAACAATTTTGAGCAGTTTTCAACAAATTCTATAACAATTGAAACAATTGCTACAAGATTTTTGAGTAATTTTCAACAACTTCCAAAACAATTGAAACAATTGCTACAACCATTTTGAACAATTTGCAAACAATTAAAACGTTTGCCAAATCAATCTTAAACAATTGCAAACAATTTCTCTATATCCCCAAAGCTCCCGGACTACCAGGCTTCTTAAAAACAAACAAGCCATAGTTATCCACAATATGTGTCAAGATCAGACACCGTTTTGCGTGTGCAAACTATATCATACATAGCAACAGAGTGCAGGTGTGAGCAGAATACAGATTGAATAGGAGCAAAACATACACAAGCTTCAATCCATGCATATTTGCCCACATGTGCGGCATCATTTTCGATAGCTGTTCGTCTACTGCTTGTAAATTTGCAAAGCATTTCTCTCACCCCACTCTCTTGCGTTTGCCCTCCTTTCCCTCTTCCCCCCCGCATCCCAGCGTGCAAGTCAGTTCAAAGGCTACTAGCGGCTAGCGTGGCCCTCAGTGGTCCTGCACCGGAGGCACATGGCAGACGTCTCACAAACGTTCACACAGCGAAGATATGAAATGATATGGATGTGCGGAGCACACGGTTGCCTTTGGACGCCAAACGCTGCTGGCCTGTTTGCTGAAACACTCTGAAACCTCAGTCGCCCCAGCAGAGGGCAAGTGTTGCATGTTTTGAAATGTGTGTGCTCTCGCGCGCTCTCTCTCTCTCTGCCTCTTTTCTTCCGCCCGCTATTGTATAATATACACATACGTGTATAACGTATCTAATGAAGTTACTAATGTGATGGGGGCTTTAATTTAATCTATAAACAATGAACTGTCAGAGGTCAATTTTGACAATTTTAAGAGGGTATTCTAGAGAAAACAAACCGTGGTTATATATATATACTGTATATTAATGACAGACCTCAGGGTCAGATATGTTATAGAAACCACTGTTTTTGGGAAAAATACACCCTGGGTCCATGGATTTTATAGAGGAGTGGATTTCAATGATTGCTCTTATAGTTGAAGAATGCCACCCTGGGTATCTTGATTTCATAGAGACCATTTTATATAGAATCATTAATGTCCGCTGCTTTATCAGGGAACCCTGGGGTCACATATAGAAGCAAGGCACTGCTCTATGTTATCAACTTTATCGATCTGACATCTCTCTGCCTCTTGGGGTGATGCTAGGCGTCTTGCAATACTGTATGGAAGAAGAGTTAAAAGACTGTATGGACCACAGGCTATATGGAAGAAGAAGAGTTAAAAGAAAGGTGATTGTGGCTGGGAGGGCTTTTGGCTTTAAAGCATCCCATGCGAACTTGCTTCTTTTTCATCAGTTCGGGAATGAGTTCTCCAGCATGTTCAACGCCGGGGTCCCATGGGGAAGTGCAACCTGAGAGTCTTGAAAACCATTAAGCAGATTCCCATGTTTGGCATTGACTTCTCTGACTTCCTGAACGCACGGCGTCTCATTGAGATTGGTGTTTGGTTCCGTGGATGTATTGACTTCCGTGGGCCGGTGTAGCTTGTTTTTATTACGTTGGCTTGGCTGGAGTTGCCGATGGGCGAACGAAGTGAGTATTACTGTATGCGTAGGGGAACAGTTTGGGTAGGGCGAGCCCAGAGCCTGGTGGAGACGAAAAAAGAGGCGGTCCGAAAAGCAGTGAACATGTATGTGTGGTTTTTGGTGTGGTGTGATGCAAGTGATGTAATTGACGCCGAAGAACGCATCATTGGCACCATGAGGGAGCGGTCTTTCGACCAGGGGTGAGGGTGGTGAAGCAAAAGGGCACCCCATGTGGGGCGGGAGTTCATGTGGAGGACAGGCATAGGGGGAGGAGGCGGGGAGCTCACCAGGGAAACGCGAAGTGGGTCGCTCAGCGCTCTGTTTCTCGTGAGCAATAGGAGTAGAGAGAATGGGAGTAAAGAGAATGTGACCTCTAGAGGATAGGAGTGGGAAGGGGTCAACGTGACAAGAAAAGAGGCCGGAAATACAGCAGGAAAGTGACTTTCAACCATCACTTACTTGCGGCTAATAAGAGCGGAAGGGAACATCCTTCCTGCTGTCCGTGACAAGCAAGCAAGGCGATGGTCCGTTGAGCAAGCTTGGTGTTGCTTGGGGGTGCCCTTTGTTGTGGTGAAGAGGGCTGTTATATAACAGGGCACCCATCAGAGCCAGCCCAGGGAGTTAGGCGGAAGAGGTCGGGAGCTCTACAGGACAAGGGACAAGAACAACAAATAGCAGGCAAGCGCTCCTCAGTTCCTTAGGGGTGCCCTTTTCCAACTTGAAAACGCACTGGAAAAGGGGCACCCCCCCAACCTATACATCATCCTCCTTTTAAAGCCATTGTAGCACTAGACGTCACTGCAATGGCGACCTCCCCCCATACAAACGGTAATCTTTGCAAATTTTCATCGGTCCACTCTTAGCAGCTCGCCGAGTTTATGAGTCCACGTACAAGCGAAACAAGCAGCAGGCAACACCCTCAATATCCCTCAATTACTTGGGGTTGTTTTTAAAAACGCCCCTTGAGCCAAAAGAAAAGGGGCACCCCGAGACTTCCCACCTCTGCTTTCTGTTTCCCCATGCCTGACGGCGGTTCCAGTGCGCTCCCGAATTCACCCCCCATAACCATATTGATGTCTTCTTACGGAGGCTGGCTTTCGACCCGTCCCTTCTCAGGTATATATAGTATCATTCTCTGAACCTCGCTTTGGGCTTGAAGCCCCATTGCTCCTGACCAGGTGCCTGTTGCAGCCTTTGCCGCTTGTCCCTTTGCTCGTTGCGTCTTCAGGCTTTTGGCTCCAGTGCTGCAGAAGCAACCCGACGCAGCCCCCTTCGAAAGTTGGGGCTGAAAACCTTGCAGACTGCTCATTTTTCCGGTGCTTCTGTTCCGCCAAGTCTTGAGGATCTGGCTTTGGAAGAGGATCAGTCCCAGCAGGGATCTAGCAGTTTGAGTTAATTTCGAAGTCTGACATGACATCTTTTTCCTGAGTCCTCACTGTCCTGACCATAAGGCATTGCTTTGGCTGGTCAAGCTGCCTTTAACTGACAGAGGCCTCCATGAACAGATGTTGGAACGTCGTGATCGCAATTTGATGCACTTGTTTCAATGTCTTGGAGGTGCTAGCATCCGCGAGATCGATGCATCCTTCTGCTCCGTCACCACAGCCACCCTTGCTGCCTTGCCAATGCTGCCGGCACTCGAGTCTCTAAACCTGGATGGCTGTCAAGATGTGGATGATGAGGCAGTGCATCTCACCAGTGGGTGCTTTGATCTTTGCTTCATCTCATTCTTTCATGTGAGTCAATCAGTCAAGCAATCTACACAGTTTCAATATATGCTTGTGATTGTGCCTTCACATTCTCCTTTGGAGTCACACACTCCAGGGCCTTGCTGCAGTGGCGCAGCGTTGCCGGGGATTGCGGTGTTTCAGTATCTACTGGAACGTGAAGGCTGGAAGTGTACCATTGAATCATTGATAAGTCTGAACCAGCCAATCATAGTCCCAACCCAGAAACTTAATGTTCACCTGCTGCAGCTCTACTCTTGTCAACGCTTCAGTCATGTCCGTTTTCTGAGGTCACCGATCAAGGTCTTGGGAGAGTCTTGAGGGCGCAGCCATGCGGAAAGCTGCAGGCAACATTGGGAAGACGTGCGGTTTGCCTGTGTTTTCTCCACCCAGGGGCAAATTTGTGCAGAGCGGATACTGTAGTAGGATTTGACGTGAACCGCTTCGCCATTCCGGCTTTGTAGAAGCAGGGTTTCAACTTAAATAAGACTACAGTAACAAGCTGGTGAGAAAACAAAGGTTGTACAGATTCAAGTCATGCTGCTGTTATTGAGAGCGTCCGCACACAAGCCACAAATCTGAGCAAGTCTGAGAGGAGCTGTGCTTCAGTGGTTGCAAATTCTTGGGTGACGAGACTGTGCAGCGCATCGTGGGACGTGCTCCACAGCTACGGCTGCTGGACTTGACCAGGTGCCCTAAGGCCCAATGGCCGCTGGCTTCAATGCACTTCGAACTGGCAAAATGTTACTGTATGACTGTATAAAAATTTATCATTGGAGAGAGCATGAGAGAGCCTGTTTGCAACATTTAAAAAAGTCAAAAAAAACACATCAAAAAAAGTCAATCCCAAAAGTCAAAGTCAAAAGCAAGTCAAATCAGAAAGTTTCAGAAAGTCAAAAAAAAAGTCAATTTGCCCAGATCCGACTTTTTTTTGAAATGTCATTTTTTTTTTGGGGGGGTGATTTTTTTTTGTTTTTTTATTTTATTTTTTGTTCCGACTTTTTTGACTTTTTTTTTTCATTTTTTTTAAAATATATTTTTCGAGTGGTTGACTTTTTTTCCGAGTTTTTTTTTTGGAACTTGACATTAAAACACACATGTTTTCGACTTTTTTTTGACATTCTTTTTTGGGATTTGTTTTTTGACTTGTTCGAGCTGTGGTCCATGGTTGACTTTTCTTGGACTTGACTTATTTTTTCACTTTGACTTTTCCATTTGACTTTTTATTGTTTTGGCTTTTTTAAATCAAGGATTCTGGCCTTACCATATGAAATAACTATAAGCAAAAGGGTGAAATATATTGTAACATTCAATTTTTGTCCAACTGGGTTCTGCTGGTTCCGTTGCACTCCAGCTTGCAGCATTTTGGCATGTCGCATCTTAAACAATCCTTTCTGTCACTATCACGACGAACAGCGGGCACATTTTTGCTTTTGAGCACAAAGAGCACGGAGTTGCCAGGTCACCGATATGGGGGCGACCTTGGTTTGCGAAAACCTTTGCGAATTGCAAGTGCTTCGGCTCTATGCCATGGCTCAGCTTACTCCAGCCGCCTTCAATGGTCTCCAGAGGTGATGGTGCACACACCAAAATAGTGCAATTCGTGGTGAGATAACGAAAACCGCCATAAATTCGATGTAAATAATAGTGCGTATTCCACAAGACAAGACTATACCATCCATAATGCAATTAAACTACACTCGTAGACATAATGAAACCATAAACAGATCAATGTGCAAATGTTTGACGAGGGTGCTTCCAAGACAATCAGAGATTGCCTGATTCTTGATCAATCTAGACCTGCTGTATCTTGGTTACAATGGTGGACGATCTAGCCGATTCTCTCCTTTTCCTTGACTTGGAATTGGCTTGGAAGTTTTGTTGCAGCGCATTGCTCAAAGTTCGTCAGGCTGCCCTTGCTCAAAGAGTTGGATCTTTGTGGCTGCCGCTGCGAAGACGAGAGTGTTGTTGCTTTTGTAACGCATGCAAAGCCAGGAGAGCGGTCAGAAAAGAAACAGTGGGAGAGACAGGAAGAACAAGAGATACTCATTGGATGTATTGCACCTACATGGATTCCTATCACACTGAACACGAGGTGCAGTCCGATTGATGTGCCTTTGTCCAGGAGTCTTGGAGACACTAAATTTGACATGGTGCTGTGCTCTCACTGATGCAACCATGCTTGCCATAGCAAAGCATTGCACCCGCCTCTACCTCAGTTTCAAGCCTGTCTTGCTGCCATTGCTTTCTTGTTTGATTAAGGCTTGGCTCCATTCATTTTTGCACACCGTTTGTCGCATTTCTCCCGCGAATTCAGTCCTGCGAATTCAGGTTTAAACTGGCTGAGCTTTTTTGGCAACCTCAACATCACAACAGCAGCGGTGGAGGCAATTCGCTCGGGGGAATCCTTGGTCGCTGGCAATTCGCTCGGTCGCTGCTTCGAGGCCTTGGCCGCGGCCGCCCCGGGCGCTTCACTGCGCTACCTGGACCTGCGAGGCCTCGCAGCTGCCCCGCCCTACAGCGATGGGAAAAGCGCAACTTGGAGTGTCAGGTCGGATTTGAGTCTTGCAAGATCTTGCAAGTATGTCATACTAAGTATGTATGCAGTATATAACAGAGAACTTGCCGGCTTTTGATTAAAGGTGATCCATAGCATCTCTTTGTTGGTTGCAAGGCAAGACATCGCAAGACCTAAGGCAAGCACGGTAGTATTCTTAGCAAGTCACATTGGCACGTTGGACTATATAATATAATATAATATATGTCAAATAGATCGCGGAGCCTTTGGTTGTACAGAGACTAACTGCCAGTCTTTCTGCAGCAAACCCCCTTCGCCAAGTTAGAGTCACAAAGATTTGTCTCAACTGCAATGTGGATGATTCTGCTGAACACTTGGTGGAGCATCAAGCCTTCAAGCTGTCTGAGGTTCGGCAAATTTTCCCTCAACTCCTCTCCACCGAGTTGCATCACTGAAGTCTGTTGTGTGAGCGACCACCCACTGGTGCTGCAGCAGTGTTTCCTGGAATGCTGTGGTCGAAACGAGCGGAAGAGAACAGTGCTGGAGGAAAGAAATGGTTCTGACGTAAAACATGTTGATTGAGTCTTTGGGTTGTGCTTGACGTTCTCACAGCAGATTACATTGGCGAGGAGGCTTCGCTGTTTTATTGCACCTGATGACAGGCTGGCGGCAAACCAAGAAAGAAGATCCCTTGTAGCCGGACTGGCCAGTAACCTGAGCAAAGTGAACCCCAGATCAGCGCAGTCTGAGGGTCAAAAAAGCAGTTTGTGCAGAGTGCAGACAGTTGATGTTGAGTTAAACAGGTGAAAGCTAGGCCAGTTGAGGATAGTTGGTGGAGCAAAGTCATTGCCAGTTGAGACGCCATGGCTTGGAGGCTCAAAGCTTAGCCGACCGAGACCTGACTTCCTTTGCGTCTCAGTTTCGGGAATGCAGGAATGGATGAAACTTTGTTGAAGCTGATGCCATATGATACCTAGAAAGCAACTGTCGCACCTTTCAGACAAATAGCTGGAATTCTGGCCTATCTTGGATCTGGGGCATTAGCGCAAAGGACATAGCGAGCCTTGCACATGTCCCTCCTCCATGTTCCAAATTGCTGTGACGCTGCTCAGTGGGCAGACAACAAGTGTCGGCGTGCAAGGGGAGACACGAATGGACTATATCAAGCGCGAGGCGCAGAGGAACTTGAAGATTGGACTATATGCGCGACGCAGCGGAAAAAAAACAACTATTTTGCCTGTTCTTTGTGAGATGCGCTGACTTCTGTGTATCAGCATCTGGTTGCCATTGATTTAGGATTTAGACAAGTGATGAATATTTGCAACATGCCTCAACTTTCATGTTTGATTGTGCGTCTTGAGGTTGGTAGACTCTTCTGGCACGCTTCTGAAACCTTGGAATCGAGTCAAGAAGGCTTTGGGATGCATTGAATGAATCCAGTGTGGGTGTTGTGGGTTGACACCCAAGTTAAGATGCATTTGGTAACCTTGGTATTGGTGTTTTTGTTCTTAATCACGCAGCTGTCCCGACCTGTTGTCAGGTAGGTCTACAAGAGGGCTCATCGGCGACTTTGTGCGAAAGTCAGCAGAATTTATATAAAGACCCTCAAGATTCATCGCTTTGGACCTTGACTCCAGCAGTGGGGACATGGGGTGATTGTGAAAAGAAGCGCGTGTCCTAAGTTTCAAGCATTGCAAGCGGACCAAGGTGACCGCCGTAGTGCGCACCGCGCAGCTCATTGGAGACCGCGGAGCACGAGGCTTTGCGGTGCTACGTGCAGACGGTGGTGTGGTCAGCTGGGGCCACCCGAGCTTCGGTGGAGACTGCCACTTGGTGCAAATCTGGAAATTCTGGTAGTGTAGCCGCTTAATTCTCAGAACCCAGTGTGCAGAAATCAAAAGGGACCACCCAGAAACTCAGAGTCTAACCTCAAGTCTCACACAAGCCACTTGGGTGGTAGGACTTCTTCGGAGTTCACTCAGGCCTACGCGCTCAGCCTCAATTGAAAGACGTGGCAAAGGTTTTTGCCAACTGCGGTGCTTTCGCAGCCGATCAGCGAAACTGAGAAACACGATCCTTTCATATGTTTTCCTTACTGTATATATTTTTCTTTGATTTTGTTTATTTGAGTAACACTTTTCTTTGGTGTTGTTGTTTTTTGGCTTTCTCTTGTTTTGCTTCTTGGACATTGAGTTTGCTCAAGTCTGGTATTCTCCTTGTTGCGTGGAATTGGTTCTGAGGCCATTCGGTGCGACGGCACAGTGGTGACATGGGGGAACCCCAATTGTGGAGGAGATGTCAAGGAAGAACGAAACCGGAATAAAGGATAGTATGGGAAACGCTAGAAAAAGAACAGCGAAGGGAGCAATAACAACACAACGCTCTTTGACGAGATGAAAAAAGGTCAGGTACCCTTTAGTAAGGCCCTAGTAAGGCCCCTGAATATATATATATATATATATTCATATACAGGGAGCCTTTACCTTCTTTTTCCACTCTTGCACTCATAGTCCTTCTAGCCTTTTTTCTTGTCTCCCTTTGTCCTCTCCAGAGGAAATTGTCGAAAAGTCCAAGCGCAACTCCAAGATGTGAAGGACATTTGTCCTGGAAATGTGCCACCGCACCATGGCAACCGAGGTATGTGAGGGAGACTGAGACTGATTGAGATAGGGGAGAATGAAAGATAGATATCATAGACTTCTATGTTAGGCTGATAGACGAACTGAACTGGTTGTTTGTTGGACGTGGACCCAAGGTATCGGGCCATCATCGAGGGGGCCTTCGCAGCCATCCGCAATGATCCTGGTCTATCACTCAAAGCAGGTTGTGTCAAGAAGCCGTTCTTTCTAGAGACATGACATGTAGACATGGAAGTGGAGGGTGTACTTAGGATTACTTAGGATATATATATATATTTATTCTCGAATCGTTCATACGGCGTGCGGATCATGGAGTGACGAAACAAAGACAAAGACAAAACCGTTTGAAGTGAGAGCCGAAAGTAGCTCAAGTAGCTCGTTCAGTTTTGCTACAGCTATCGGGCAAAACAGGATTCTTTCTGCATGATGTTCTTCCACATGTCTTTCAACATCGAACGGCTAGGCTTCCCTTTTGCATCTCTACAGAGCTAGGCTGAACATGTTGAGCTTAGGATGGTCATGTGGTAACTTGGGGGAGTCCTGGTTGTGGCGGCGACAGCAGCATGGTACAGGAGGAGTTGCACAGCATCATTGAGGTCCGTGCAACCTGTGGTGCATTTGCAGCTCTGAGGGCTGATGGGAAGGTCATCGCCTGGGGAGAGGACTCAGAAGCTACAGATCTCAAAGCTGTAGAAGGTGAATTATGTTCAGTGGAACGGCTCTTTTCCAACTTGCGCTCCTTCGCTGCCATTCGAACTGACAGACGTGTGGTGACCTGGGGCTGCGACATTGCAGGGGGCAACAGCAGTGAAGTGCAAGAGGAGTTGCATGATGTCTATGACATTGCAGCGGTGGATCTGGCATTCGCAGCCATCAAGACAGATGGTTCGGTGGTCACTTGGGGGAATCGCAAGCTTGGCAGCAACAATGCAGCAGTAAGGTCGGAACTCTACGACGTTCAGCAGGTATGTGGCACTGCTAGCTCTTTCGCAGCTTTGCGGGCTGATGGTAGGGTTGTGACTTGGGGTCAGCCTGGAGCTGGTGGTGATAGCAGTTGTGTCCAGGACACTGAATCTCTGAACGCTACTCAACTCCTTCTGTAAACATTCTTGCGCAGGGTTTTCAATAGTGAACGGCTCTGTGTGGCAAGAACTGCCAATGTGAGTTTGCCAGAGGTGTCCATTGGAGTGGGCTGTCTAACTTGAACCTTGCCGCTTCCCAACTGAAGGACCAGCTTCATGAGATTTGTCAAGTCGTTGCGGCAGAAAGCGCATTTGCAGCTCTCCGGTCTGACGGGAAGGTCATCACATGGGGAAGGATGGACATTGGCGGTGACAGTAGCACGGTTCAACCTGAACTCAGATGCTTGGATTGCATTTGTAGTCTCAAACTGCTCTCTTTTGCCTTCGTAGATCTTTGTAGTCTGGGTTCGGAGTTCGGCGGCCCAACTCAGTGGTCGGTGAACTCAGCTGATGCGTAGCTACAGGAGATGTGGTCACAATTTGCAGCTCAAGACATGCTTTTTCTGCTATCAGAGCTGATGGCCGAGTCATATCTTGGGGGCGAGCCGATCAGGGGGGTGATAATTCCAAGCTTGGCGCGGTGGATGTCTTTGCAATCAGGGAGCGCAGCCTATAGCTTTCCTTCAGCTTGCCAAAGATTGCTAGCTGCTAGATAGAAACCTTCAGTCTTGGATTGTTTAAGTGGCCTGGGAACAACAAGGATGACCAGTTGCTGCTGCACAGCATTCGCGTCGGCATGCTTTTGCTGCTTCTGCTCCCTGCCATCGAATTCAGGGGCTTTGATCGCCCTGATGTGAGCTCGGACATGTTTTCTCTCCACCTCGGTGTGGCTCAAAGGTAGTTGCTTCTTGTCCAGGGGAGGCGGTCATGCAAAATGAGATGTGCCAGAAAGTGGAGCTCACATGAGCCAAAAACACGACTAGAGACACCAAGCAAGCCTGAGAGGCATTCCACATGGGTGGATCTAGTTCCCAACGATTCCTGCGATGGGGTTTGGTCCTCATTTTGGCGTGTCCTAACTGAAGTTAGTGCCCAGCACATTGATTTTCAAATCAACTCAATTTGGACATGTCGAACGATTCGAAACGTTAATTTGGTTCGGAAGATACCTGAGGTGTTGTGAAGCGCCATGCTGGGTGCCAGGCCTTGGTGTCAGCAGCGGCACGAGAATTCGATTACTGTATTAGGATTGTTGTGTTGAGTCGAGCGTGGCGATCCAGTCGTGTTGAGTCGACATAGATTTTTTTGCCGACCTCGTAATTACTGTCAGTAGTAGGCGCCTACTAGCACGTAGCATTAGCTTACTAAGTCACCTGTAGCTACTACCTACTGGACTAAAGGCGGCGGGGGGAGGGAGCTTCCTTGGAGAAGCGCTCGCACCATAAGGGATTAGAGTCGCAGTCTCCCAGGGCAGTGATTCAAACATAAATCAAACACATAAATCAAAGATAATTCATTCGTGCTCCTAGTAGTGAACATTGCTCCTAGAAGTAAGGCCAGGAGCCCCTAATAGCGTCTTTGCTCCTAGTAGCGATGCCAGGAGCCCTTAGTAGCTTCTTGCAGTAGGGCAGTTTCACTCGGGTTCTCGCAGCCTTTCGCACCTGCTCAGGTCAGCAGGGCGATCGTGGCCTCCACTTCAGCGCAAATCGGATATCGCACATTCAGCGAGGCGGCGGAGGGCGTTTCCCGTTTATATAAAGTTTAAAGGCTATGCATATGCTCTGTATGTACTATTGAATGTTTGGGTCACTTGTTTGGACGAGTTGTCTATTCTCTGGGGTCCTTGCCTTGCTAAGTGCTTTTTGGGTTACTGTAGTAGTGATGCCGAGGCGATCCACAAGCAAACGCCCCCCAAACCTTGTTTGATTTAAGGTGACGGACTGCCTGACGACGCTGGCAGACGAGATGTTGTCGCAGAGTGGTTGCAGAGTGCCTTGCAGGCTGCAGGCGCTAAACCATCTAAATTGCCGCTGTGCGTCTAGCGCCACGCCTTTGTGATATACATAAATTTGTTTTGCTGGTACTTGTTTGTCACATACTCCACTCTCTGTCCTATGCCACCTTATTGGGCTTTCGGTATCACAATGACAAGCATGCGGTAGGCGCTTCAGTAAGCTACATGAACACAGGGATCGAGCAGCTTAGCTGATAGCTGACAGCTCTTACAGTAATTGCAATCATATAACACTTATGATATAACCCGCTATTGGAGTGCATTGAGGCCGGAAGGAAGATAGGCTCCGGATATCCTGTGCGTTGTTCTAGGAACAGCTTTGGTGGCTACTGGTGCCTTTTGCAGCGGTGCAAAGCTTGCCGTCATCAACCAGCCTCAACAGCCAGAGCTGCGGGGCTTGGTGCCAAGTTTGGGAAAGTTCCCTCTCAGACCTGCACACATCAAAGACCATCAACCATCTACAATCCGTCTTTCTTTCGCATGCATGGAGTCGAGTCTAACTCAAATGGTTGCATTGTATTTGCACACATAGTTATTGAGTTTGAGAGCAGTTCAAACGTCAAAACGGCGGAGCAACATCCCAGCTCTTTTGTACCAGGCCCGTTCCGTGCAGTGGGCTCTCGTGTGCTGCGTCTAGCAGGGCTGCGGTGCCGGGTGCTGTATCCTGCACAAAGCAATGGCAAGGAAGCCCCCTATCTTTCAGAGGGGCGAAGAACCTCAGAAACTGTCGTTGCAACTTGCAATGTTTTCTCGTTTGGGCGGAAACGCCGAATTCTTTTGTGAGCCGTCATAGCCAGACCAGGCAACGGTTCAGAGAGGGAGATTCAAAGCACAGCATGCGCTGTAAGGATGCCATGGCACGGCTTGTTTTCTTTCCTGGCTTCTTGCTGGAGCACCTGGGTACTGCAAGTTCTGGGTGCTGGGAGGACACGTGGTGATAAATGTAAAACCATGATGCATGATGGAATTGATGTGGATGTTAAAAAGCGCCTGTGCCTCCAGTTGAGGATGCGCCACCTTCTGCTTCTCCGCAGGGCCTTTATCCAGTTTTCGTGTACTCCCACGGTCAGGGAGGCAGGAGAGTGCTCAGAGAAGCACTGCTTTGTAACTGGTGTGCTTGCTTGGCTATGTGTGACAGGAAACATGGACATGGGCACATTTTTTTTGAGGCTGGACCCGTGGGTTGCGAGTAGGATTCGGACGGCACCAAGAGAAGGGATGAACGTTGTACCCATTAAGCGCGTACATGTACACACTGGCTGTGCAATGAACCATTGTACTATATAGATGTGGTGAACAGGCCTAAAGCTGCCAGTTGTATGCAAGGCAGATTGCCAGCTATGGGCTGCCGCTTGCCAAGACTGGTGCGGTGGAGGTCAATGTCATGGACCAGCTTTACTGCCAGCACCCCCCTTGAAAGACACTTAGTCACTAGCAGTAGCGAAACAGGTTGTTACAAGCGGCACTTGCGATCTGAAGGATTGTCCTCAGTGTGGAGCACCAAGATGGCTCTGCATCCACTGGCGATGAGTCCAATCCCAGACCATTCAGTTTCACTCGTGCGCAGCTGGGAGTGAGCTATCGTGCGCAAGAGCTGATAGAAGCGGCTTGGCAAGTCCAAGAGGCTGATCTTTTTGGGGGGGTCTTGGCCGCTAGTAGAGGTAGGTTTGCCAGGGAGTCGGTAGCTAGTAGGTACAAGACGCTACTAGTAACTGGACGCAGGATAGCTCATGCTTCTTCAAGGAAGCTCCCTTTAGGGCGGCGGGGGAAGCTTCTTTGAATTTGGTTCCTAGATTCTTAGGGAAACTTAACAAATATGATGAATCCTACCACGTGCCCTTTGGCCTTCCACGTTGGAAGAGTTTTGATCGGGGCGGTGCGGCACCACTGTTGGGTTGGCAGCGCCTAGGTGACGAAAGCTTTGCTCGCTAATGGACTGCTTGATGAGCTTGGTGGAGACGGGCAAAATATTTTAGTGGGTGGACACAGTGCCTTTGTTGAGCCATCAAGAGATCTCTTGTTCTCAGAGTCATCAAACTATACTATACAGAACGCACACACACACACACATATATATATATATATACACATACACATGTACATTGCATAAGCAATTCGATCCAGACTTTCGACTTCTCTACTATGGATTGCAGTTCATGAACTGAACCATTCCTCATTATATAACTAGCACACTGTAACTACTGGTAGTGCTTTGAGGTTATGGCGGTCCCACGGCCATTCTTGCCGCCAACGCAGCCCCGGAGCTTTTCAGTGGATTGGCCCTGGCCTGAGCCGCAACAGGACAGTTTTGTTTGGTGGAAAGCTGAGTGGACCCAGATAGGCGCTGTAGTGTGTTTAGATGCAGGACCATCCGTCTTTGTCCCCAGGTGCTGCATGACCCAGCAGTGAGCGCTGAGATGCCGCAATTGACCCAACCAGCCGCCTTGGCAACATTGAGAAGTTTGCGCTGATTTGCGCTCCTTTTCGTTGTGTCGCATTGTGTTGTTTTGCACAAGTGCTGACTGGAACGACAGCAGCTTGTACAGTGTTGCTGTTGAAGGTCTTTTCCATTGTGGGAGATGAGTATGCCGGCATCTTGAATTTGGTGACTCCCAGATGCAAACCCACTCAATTCTGAGTTGCCTTTGCAAGTGAACTCTTCATGTGTGATGATGTGTGCTACGAAGTAAGTTGTGCAAACTATTGCAGGGACCACAGATCTCAGGAATATGGTGCGCAAGGTGTCTTCGAGCGGCAAGGTGGAATTGCAAGAGTCAGTTTTACCAAGTCTCTTCTCTTCTAGTGCTTTGCATGGTATTTGCATTGAAGCTGTCTTAAAGCCTTTGGAGGAAGCGGATCTGCTCAGTTGTGAGGCTCGCCCATGGTCTGGCCTTTGGCACTTCAATGGCATCAGCCATGGGAATTTTGTGGATGCCCCGCTGTGGGCTGGGCCCTTGGTCACAAAGACAGCTAAGTCAGCTTGTGATGGAAGATCGGTGTGATGTATGGGCTGCAACAAGCTTAAAAAATCAGAAGGCCCCGATTGCGTGTTGTCGCTGCCCTTTGCTCAAAATTGCCAGCATTTGTGCGGAGCTAAAGTGACAATGACAATCTCTCCCTGAGCATCACCATGGAGACAGTGCAGCCTCAAGTGGCGGCACTCCTTGAAAAGAGCATTGGTGGATGGCGCAACGCGCAAGTGATTTCAGGCTCTCGGGAGATGGGAAGAAGTGCGGGTCACAATACCGTCTACATCGTTCTAAACCAAGAAAGTCGGATATTTATCATGAGCCAGTCGCTGCAAGAGTGTGAAATGTTTGACGAGGTGTACAGCATTGGCCTTCTGGGAGGTGATATTGTGTGTAAAGACAAGTCTGTAAGCAACGCTGCTTCTGGTGCTCCTGTTGCCGGGAGCTTTATTCTACAGCAGTCCCATGTCTTCCGCGACAAGAATGAAGCCGGCATGCAAGGAGACATCATTGAAGATGAGGAGGAAGAGGTGCAGCCTCACTGGGTCTTTGAGGATCGTGAGAAGGACATTACCATTTCAAACGGGCGCCTTGCGGCAGAGGATACTATGTCAGGTGAGTCTTTAGACCTGTTTGACGCCAGCTGCCGGATCCCTGGGACCTTTGAAAGAGAAGGATGGAAGTTCACGATTCCTAATGCAGAGTATGAAGAATTCAGATTGTCAGAGGAGGGAAAGAGAATTTTGCATCAAGGAAAGCTGAGTTTCAGGCCATCCAGCACCGCGGATGGCCATATTGAGCTGCAGGGAACCGTTACTACAACGATGTATTTGGATGCTATGCGGGTGGAGCATTTGAAGAAGCCGGTGTTTGCAAAGTTGGATGCCAGCTACAACACTGTCCTCGTGACAATTGAGGGGGAGGCCCCGATTGAACTGCACAGGCTGAATCCAGACGGAGACCCTTTGCAGTTTGTCAGACCAGTCTTTGAACACCTGCATTTGCAGCCCTAGCCAACAACTGGCTTGGTCATAGATGCTGTGATGATGCTGTGATTGCGCAGTGAAAATGTTGCATAATCATATAATGGGAAAAGCACAACCTGAATGACGGTCTTAATGAAGCCAAAGGACACATCTGAACTGACACTGAGGCTCCTTTGCCAATCATGCGCCTTTTGCGTCTACTGCTGATCCCTGCAGCAGGGCCTGCAGATCCCGCAGAGGCTTTGTTTCGGAGTTCCCTCAAGTTGCCCTCAAGCGTGAACTTTGTTTGATTTGCAGCGGCTTAGCACTTTGGGTTTCTTCCCCTTCGCTACTCGGACAGCCTCTTTTCGGAACCACCAATCCCATTCTGTTTCTATTAGTAACGTCTATGAGTGCTCGATCGGCCCCAAACTTTGCTTTACTGTAGGTTCGCTTGTTGCCAGGCCTGAGCCTTGACCACCAATAATTTCAACCAGCTCTTTCTCATATCTCTAGGCGCACAATGCCATGGCATCAGCCGCTGCTGACTTTGCAAAAAGCAATGAAAAGTCTGTTTCAGACACTGACCGCGCGTGGCAACTCTTGTAAAACGATGGGCCCGCAGAAAGCGGTTGATGACAAATAGTTGACGAGCTCGTTCATGCTGTGGTGCTAGTTTCGCACATTTCCAAGCAATCCCAAGCCACACTTTTCATCCTCACCGCGGCTTTTGTGAGTGCATCCACTATATACCCGTGTTCTTCTCCATAGAATGTCGGCATCACTTCTCTCCCTCTCCGGGCTTTCTGTGGAAAGTAGCCTCGCAACGCTGCACAACTCTACCAACTACAGTATAATATAGTATCTAGGAGGAAATCCACGATGTCAACCTTCAAGGTTCTGATATCAGGATTTTGCCTGATGCTGCATCCCTTCATGCAAGGGCCTGGGCTTAAGTTCCTATTTGAGGAGGTGGTTGAGAGCGTCACAGACGTGCTGCATGTCTTTTGGCTCAAGAATTGCCACATCAAGGGATAGCCAAGCACGGGCCACCAAAGGCGTAAACATGTGTCTTGCCTGCTGAACTTTAATGTGTATGTGTGTGCCCCGGGCAGGTCATGGCAACGTGCATGGCACCTCCATGGCAACAGCCTCATTTCATCCTATTTCTATAGTGCCAGTCGAGACACGAAAACTGATTGATTAGACGCACAAGGCGTCATCCCTCCAAAAGTTTCTTTTTTTCCTCCCAACGACTTTCAACATGCTTTGTTGTTTTTCTCAGACCTGACTCTGTCAGGCCATTCTGCCTTTTACGATTTGTTTACTTCTCAGTAGACTTTTGTGCAACTTGCTCAATCACTCTACGGTTGGTGACATTCATGGAAAGAGACTCATTTGCTCCCTCATCCGCGGCTTCCTTGACTTTGTTTGTCAAGATGCTGGTGGCTAGCCTGCTAGTCAGCTAGTCTGCCTCCTCGCAGCTTTTTTTTCACGGGCATTCTGTGGGTTGAAGACCCCTTGACTGCCACGCCCCTCGTTGTGAGACCCTAGAAGCACTCCACAAGGACCCCTCCATGAGAATTGTCAATCCATCCTCACATTTGCATTCTTGTATTTCTCCTCGTTTGCCTGCTTTCTCTTTCGCAATGGTGCTGCGTTTGTGTTTAAGTATGCTTTCAGCATCATTGGCAATTATACTGGTATACGGTATGCTACATATACACAGGACCATTTTTGCTCCCTGGCTTTCCACCACTTGGCTGTTGCCCCTGTTCCAAACCTCCCACTGCTTCCTTGCACTTTCTCCTTGCTTCCTAGGTCCTTTTGTTGCGTTCTTTGATACAGGAGTCTGGAAGGTCCGAGTAGATGCGGAGGCCATTGCTAGCAAAGTCTCACCGAGTGGAGGGCAGCATGCTATTCTTTCTACACAGTCTGGGTACTCTGTGTATTGTGTACTCTGTGTTGAGAGCCCGTGTGATACTTACTGCAGCTGGTTCGTTGCCTTCAGGCCAAGTCAACGCCGCTCTGGCTGCTCAGAACGCCATTCCGCCCTGCTGCGGATGCGAGAGCGTGCGGAGCGCAAGACATTGGAAGGGGTGATTCAGATGGCTTCAGACAATGGCTGGGAAACACTACCCTCCAGGAAGGGGTGACGTCAACTAGCATCAAGTAGTTAGTTTAGCAGCCAAGATGCTGCGGCCCATCTACTGTGAGGGGGCTGCCAGAGAGTAGCAAGTTCATGTTGAAGAGTCGAAACCAAGCAAAGCGCGAAGGATTGCTTCTACACTGCACTTGTTTTGGCTCTTTTGGCTCCAAGCTTTCTTTCCATTTTGGGTTGAGCCCACCGTCCAGCACCTTGTCGCAATGCAGCACATTAAAGTGTTTAAACATGTTCGGCATGCATGCTGGCCGTATGGTGCTTGCAATCTCTCTCTCTATATTATATCTGTATATTTGGATCATCCGACAACGGCCCAGGAATTTATGACGGTGAGTTGCCTACCAGAGAGATTTATCCTTCTGGCGGAGGACTGGAGCTTTCTGTAAAACCTGTCAGATGTTCAGACGACCCAATAACCATGACCTGTCCAAGTTCAAACACCCGGTCAAGCTTCAGCATGTCCGACTTCGCAGCCTATTTTCCAGCTCGATTCGTAGTTATTCGTGCCATTTTGCGCCTTGCCCTAGCGAGTTCCCAGCATGACGACCACTGGCGTATGGTCGGCTGACAAAGCAGGCGGGCTTTGGATTGGGATGCAGCCAAAACCTTGCTCACTTGAACAAAAGCGGCCTCAAATTGTGTACAGTGTGCACATACCGTATGGGACATACTGAACCTAGAATGGAGCTGAAAGTGAGATGGAGTCACGACCGGCAAACTCTTCTCTGCTGGCTGAGTGTGTAGCCATCCTTGTTTCAATCTCCCGTCTCCAACCTGTTGGCCAGGCTTCGAGATGAAACGCAAGTCCTCCTTCTCACTGCTTGATGCTACAGCAGTGCGTCCAGCACCAAATGTCGAGGGGCAAGACGCTAAGCTGAAATGCCACATGCCGCCCTGACATGCGAGCGGCGAGTCTGAATCTTCGCCCTGACCTCCGATGCTTTCAGATGCCTAACACATAAAGCCATCGTGTTCCAAGGATGGCAACCGCATGGAGAGGCTTCAACAACTCATGGCAACTTACGACCCTTGGTGGACATGTTGGGCCTGTGCAATGCCGCGTTTGCCATAGTGACATCGTGACCCACTGTTGGCCAAAGCGGCACTCTCTTTAACCGGGCCATATTCAGGTTTATTTCAGGTTTATTCAAGTTTAGTGTTTAGAGATGGGCTATACTATATACAACTACACTGCTACCATCAACAGTCACCACTCCATGGAAAGCATTTGCTGGTTGATGGCAAAGGCCGCAGGCTGCAGCAGGTGTGATTGTAGAGCAGGCAAGCGTTCATTTGCCCGATGCGTGGCGGAGGAACCGAATGACCCTGAATCCATCCAGAAATCTTTTGCTCGGCACCTGGAGTACTCCCTGGCGTGTACAAGATTCAAGTTCACCATGCAGGCGACGGCCAGTACTGCTTTGCACACTGTAGGGGGGTAAGCTTCCACTGGCCCATGAAGGAAAGGCTTCTGACATTGCAATTCATGCAATTTTTATTCACTAAAGTCCAACAAGTTTGTTGAAGATTAGACCGCTGCAAACCTGCGGAAGCCTCACTGTTGCTTCAGCACTGTTTCCGAGAGGATGCTTACCGTGCCGCTGGCCTTGTTCTCCGTGATCGCTTGTTGGAGTCCCTGAATGACACCAACACCTACTACCGGGAACAGGACGTAAAAAGGCACACTGATTGTCTCCATGTCATAGACTGAGAAGGAACGGCTTGTGGGTAATGAATGTAGTCAATTGTTGTTTGCAGGGGGTACTACCTGTCAGCAGAGTATTTGATTGGCCGCCACATGCAGAATGCTATCGCCAACCTGGACTTGGAACAGCAGTTTAAGGATGGACAAGCAGCGGCGTGCAATTTTATGCTGTTGTGATAGAATGGGCAGTATGCCATGACATGCATTTGGTGCTGGGCTTTCTACTTGCATGTTGCGACGTGCAGGAAGCCTTTGAGGACTTGGGGATGAAGCTTGAGGCTCGACGGTCAGATAATTCCAGAACATTCACAGATAATTTTGGCTCGCAGCATTCTAGAACTTGGGCAACCCCTTCCAGGAGCTGTTCAGTGAGGAAGCAGATCCCGCCTTGGGCAATGGAGGGCTTGGCCGCTTGGCTGCCTGCTTCCTGGATTCCATGGCCACCCTGCAGCTTGGCCGAGCGTGGAATAATGGGTTCGAGTGCTGGAAAACACAACATTCATTTGGTCAGATCATTGGAGTGTGATGCACAGCTTTTTTGTAGCCCCAGTGATTGTCCAGTCTTTGGCAGCTGCAGCAGCGCTCCCTGGCCAAAGGTCATTGCCATGTTGGGGGTATGGCATCCGCTACAGCTATGGCATGTTCAAGCAAGGCATCAAGCACCTGGCCACCAACAGCCAATATGTTGTGTTTATGTTTTTATGTATTTCAAATTTCTGTCCTGACAGCCAGCTTTATTCTCAGCAAAGCACAAAAAGGCTTTTGTGTAGTTCGCCACTGAGGGATGGGCGGCAAATTGAAGAACCGGATTTTTGGATTGGCAGGGGTCCCAGAACACTTTCAGAGGTGCTCAGACTTCTTCTTGTGATTCTTGTGGCAACTTGTAAGTTCAGCGGTCCCCGATGTATTCTTGCAATTCTTGAATTCTTGTATATGTATGTTTATGTAGGCGTGAGCCTGTGTGAGCCCATCCGTCTACTCTAACTCAGTGCAGCAAGAGACCTTACACCTGTGAGGTGATGGCTGCCCTTTTGAGATCCCCCGGCCAGATGTGACGTACCCGGTGCGCTTCTATGGCACGGTGCAAGACACCTACGAGAATGGCAAGAATGTTTCAAGGCAGAAAGGAGAAACACGCCTCGTCAGACATTGTCAGACTCATTTTGAGTTGAAGGCGCGTATACCTAAATCTGTATATATGTATGTGGTGTAGTCAAATATTATATGTATATATATATACACACATATATATATATATAAACAGTGTGACGGACAAACTCTTAGAACATAGGTGTTAACATGGCGAAACTCATGACTTAGAAAAGGAAGGGGCAGGGGGACAAACACATGCACGCCAAGAAGAACAATCTTCCAAACACAGGAAGGACTGGTAAGAACATGTGCACCCATCACTTGGAGCAAACAAAGAGCTGGTTAAAAGATGTTTAGAGTTGCCTCAATGACTTTAAAATCCATATGAGGGGAACCTGCGCTTAGAACATACCAAAGTGGCTTGCCAAAGTCTCCAGATAGTGGAACACACCCAATTCTGCAGCAAGAACTTCTTTTTCCTCAAGGGGTTGCCCTGCCCCCAGAAGTGGTATTGCCCGCCCGATGGGCGGATGTAGACTTTTTGCTACATGTTGCTTGGCCTTCCACTGAATGCTGAGCAAAACAGACACTCATATTACACACACACATATATATATATAATCACACACGCTGTGATTTGTCCGTTGATGGTTGATGACCGTTGACTCGCCGCCTCAATGAAGTGGTGGGTGGGCAGAGGCATTCACACCGAGGAGAAACCAGGGGTTCGGTGTCAAGGGACAGGGGTGACTGAGGACGGTCTAGGACTCCGGTAGGACAGGGTTCCACATAGGATTCACATTGGTAGCGGAGCCTCTTAAACAAGGGGCAAGGTGTTTTTGGGGATTCAGGGTGACCCTAGGTTGGTGGTGATAGGAGAGTTTGGGGGGAAAGACATTTCACCTCCATCGTGTGATTGAGCCATGGCCCCAAAAGCTGTTCAGACGGCAGATGAGGCGGCACCAGGCCGAAGTTCGGGATCTCTCCCGGCCAGTCAGCTGCCTTGGGCCCAGATTCCAAGTTTTGTTGCTGGTGAAACGGACCTGGATGACTATGGGAAGAAGTTGACCTTTTTGGCCAGCATCTGGCCGGAAGAACACATTGGGCACTTAGCCCCAAGAGCGGCCCTTCAGTGCGACCCGGTGTCATTCAAGAAGATTTCACGCATCAGCCCTGATGAGCTCAAGTCCAAGAACGGGGTTGCTGCTATACTGGCTGCACTTGGCCTTCAATGGGGAAGGTTTTCAGCAGAAGACCGCTATCTCAAGTTCGAGCGGGCGCTGTTCTTGACCGTTCAGAAGGGAGACGAAACCAATGACAGCTATCTCGCCCGGCATGATGCCTGTTTCGAAGAAGTGATGGCCAAGGAGAAGGGCATCAGCCTCGAAGAGATTCGAGCCTATATCCTTCTGAGGCATTCAGCCTTGGCCTCGGAGGACAAAAAGCGCATCATTGTCGAGTCCGGAGGAGAGCTGAAGTATGGTCCAACCAGAGACCGAGTCCGTCTTCTTGGGTCGAAGTTCTTTACCGACCTTCATGGTCAAGCAAAGCCCAAGAACAAAACCTATGACGTGAACGTCACGGAGACGCCTGACGAGGAGGACACCATGGTGACTTTTGAACCTCCTGATGAACACCAGGAGGAACAGGCATTTCAGCTCCTACAAGACCAAGGAGACGAAGACGCCGTGTTTGTGGCAGAATTTGAGGAAGAGGTCATCAATGCAGTGCAAGAGTCCAGTCAACTGGCCAGTTGCTTTTCAGCATATCAAGAAGCTCGTGCTCGGCTTCGTGAACGAGTTCGTCACAGAGGCTTCTGGCCACCTGGCCAGGGCAAGGGTGGCGGTCAAACGACCAAGGGAAAAGGGAAGAAGGGTTCATGGAAGAGCTCATGGACACCTCCTCGAAAGACACTCGCCGAGAGGATTGCCAATTCAACCTGTCGGATTTGTTCCAAGCCTGGACATTGGAAGAGGGAATGTCCTCAGCGCTTTGAGCGACAGGCCGAGACCACCACCATGGCGGAGACCCCCTATGAACCGGAGCAGGATCCGGAACTCATGGACACCTTGCCGGACGACGTCCAGGACTATGAGCCTTGTCCCTATTCTAGTAAAGAGTTTGGTAGGGTGGTAGGTTCGATCGCACCGGTCGTTTGGCATGGATTTGAGAATCAGAAGACACATGGGGGTGATCAGATTTTTACTGTTTGGGACAGTGGAGTTTTTGGAAACCACCTTCGATCTGCTCTCAAAGTTGCTCAGAGGCCGGGGCGATTTGAAGTTGCACCTTCAGCCAAGACGCGAATTAATTTTGAAAAGGCCTCCTCACCGACCCTTCCTGCCTTGAACGTCCATGACCAGAATGGACTGGGGCAAATGATGGAAGAAGCTTCAGATGAAGCTATTTTGGACACCGGAGCGAGCCGAACCGTGATAGGAAGTCGCTGGGTTGAGGGTTTGATTCAGGCTTTGAAAGGTGTCAAGGTCAAGAGAGGCCCTTCCAACTGTGTGTTCAAGTTTGGAAATAGCGGCACGCTCCAATCACAAGAAGCACTGTTTTTGCCGCGAAAAGGCAGAGGATGGCTTCGCGTCGAGATCGTGCCCGGAAGCACACCGTTCTTGTTGTCTAACGCAGTTGTTCAGGGAATGAAGGGGGTAATTGATTCCTATAGGGGGAAACTGTGGTTTCATGGGGCGAAACAGGAACTTAGGTTGCGCAGGGTTCGAAGACGTTTGATTTGTGTGAGTGTTCGGGAACTGTTGAATGTTGATTTTGATGATGAAAGGGGTGAAGTGTTTCATTCAATGTCACAGAACACCAACACACGCCACCAGTCGACCCACCACATGCGTGAAAACAGAATTCAGAATGAGGAGACATCACATAAGCAAACAGAGTCTCGGCATCCCACAGACTTGGAAAAGTACGACCTTGCAGCCCAAGAGACAGCTCAAGTGACCATCCGTGTGAAGCCCGAGATCGACATTGACGAGACCCACGATTATGGCAATGAAGAAGATGATGGCTCAACACTCAGTGGAGGACGACCTGTCGGTGGGAGGAAGATTGATGTCGGCAACCCAACAGGCCTTGGACTACACTTACATGATCCCACCGGGAATGACCAGCCTCAAGCAGTGGGGACAGGAGAAAATGAACACCGGCAAGCATGCCGGTCAGCAATTCGAGGTGCTGTTCGAGATGGACACCAACTACGTGAACTTCATCCTGCACCACAAAAGGCTCACAGGAGTCGACGTGCGCAGCTTCCAGAATTACTGCATGGCGCGCCGGAAGAAGGAAGCAGAGGCATCGCAAATGCCGGTGATGAAGACAAAAGGAAAGTCTTCCACAGAGAGCGAATGGAGCCACATCGACTGGGAGACGATGGAGCACATGGAGGCTCGTCAGACCCAAGGACCGATGACCAAGACCACGGAGAAGACTTCAGCCGGCTCCAAAGCGACATCTCACAAGAGGGCCCTTCCAAAGGGCAAAGAAGAGAAGCCCATGACCATCGAGCCAAACCAGCAGCACATCCATGCCCTTCAGACTCAGATCGCAGTGCTGCAGAGGGAACTGGCTCGACACGGCTACGAGGACCAGAATGTCGCGCCGGCGCCAGAGACCCCGTGAGACCCGACAGTGAACTGAAGGTGACAAATTCGATGACTCCAGTTGCTGAGGTCCAGAAACGATTGACGGAAGTTGTTCAAACGATTGAGGACGGGTTGTCCATGTTGCCTACAAAAGGACCCTTTCGTCAGCGACCTCAGAAACCGGTTTGGGATCCAGCGAATGATCGGCCCGTTGACCTCTTGGAGATCTTCTGTTTTCCCCAATCCCAGATGACCACCCAAATGAACAAGATGGGAGGAAAAGGGCTGAGATTCACGTTAGATGATGGAGACCTTTCAACGGTAGAAGGGGTCAACAAATTATGGACCTGGATCTACATGTATGAACCACTCCATATCTGGGCGGCTCCAGATTGTAAGGGGTGGGCGGGTTTTTCCCGACTGAACATGACCCGAAGTAGAGAATCCGAAACACGCTTTTTGTTCATGCGAGAATTTGAACGAAGGTACCTGACGTTATGTAATGACATTTACTGGCATCAAGTTTCTCATGGACGACATTTTCATTTGGAGCAACCTCAAGGTTCAGACATGTTGAAGCAACCTGAAGTATATGACATCATGTCGGGAACGTTGGCAGTCTCCTTTGACCAGTGCACCGTTGGCAGACTGCGAGTTCCGGGAACGGACAAGTACCTTCGGAAGCGCTCCAACGTGCAGACGACATCCAGGTTGATCCACCAGATGCTCCATGGCAAGTGGTGCCAACAAAAGCATGAACGCCAGACCATCGAAGGAAGCTACACACACCAGAAAAACAGACAGAACATTTCAACATTTGCAGCACGATACACCACAACTTTTGCACAACACATGGTCAGGGTGATTTGTAGGAGTAGGACAAGTGGTGAAGAACCCCTTGTTGTGGAAGAGTTGTTGGCAGGTTTTGAGGCTTCCGAAGGGCAAAAACGATCAGCAGAGTCTCGAGGAATTGCTCTCGAGTCTTTGCGGCTGAAGCGGCGGATATGCGATTTTAAGCAAGCAAGACCACCTGCATTTGATGATCACCAGGACACATCATGGGACGATCTAATGAAAAGTGTGTCATTGGAGACCCCTCGTGTTGGCGTTCACGTCGTTGGAAGGGAGCTAAGTGAACGGATTGGATCAAAGGTCCCAGAGATGGATGTCCGGTTGGTCATATCGTGTCGTGGAACTGATCGATATCGCATTCCACCTAATGACAACGACACGGAGTCCATACCCCTCAGGAAAACTGTCTATGTTCACAGACAAACTGGGGAGTGTGTGGACACGGGTCCCCCTGAGGAATGGCTCAAGCTGAGCAAGCTGAAGCGCATCCGTTCGTGTGGCCCATCCAGACTTGCAATAACTATTTTTGGGAAACCACGGGGGGAGGACCCTGAGGTTGAGATGGTACCTGTCCCAGAGGAGAACCAGGATGTTGTAGAAGGAAAGGAACTAGCAAGTCCAGAACCCACCGGATGGGCGCCCAGACCAATCGCGGTGTCAGGCCCTACCTACAACCGCTTGTCATCCGAGAAGCGCCAGGATATCAGTAGACTCCATCAGAACTTGGGTCACCCCTCAACTGATTTGTTCGTGAAGTTTCTGAAGGAAAGGGGGTCCCCTCAAGAAATTTTGGATGGAGCAGCTGAATTCCAATGCGCAACATGTGCAGAAACGGTAGGAGCCCCCATGGCCAGCAAACCCGGAACCATACACCGTGACTTGGACTTCAATGATGAAGTAGGATGTGACGGGGTGTATTGGAGTGGACAGATGGGAAAGAGCTACTACTTTGTTCATTTCCTAGATGAGGGTACGCTGTTTCATTTGGGGACTCCTTGCAATAGGACAACTGAAGACCAGATCCGGGCATTTGAGGACACCTGGTTACAATGGGCCGGACCATGCAAGACCTTGTATGTTGACCCGGCCGGAGAATATGTCACAGACAAATGGCGAGATTTCCTTCAAAAGGAAGGGATTCAATTGGCAATGACAGCTGGCGGTTCACCATGGCAGCTTGGTCGAACTGAAAGACATGGTGCCATCATAAAAGGGATGTTGACCAGGATGGACAATGAACAACCCATTCAAAACGATGAGGAGTTTCGGGCCTGTTTGAGACATGCTTTTGCAGCAAAGAATTCATAGAGAGAGTCTATGGAGGAGAGAACAGGCTAGACGGAGTTTCATATCTGCAGATAATGATTCAAGTTTTCGCCGTGCATTGCTTCGAAGAACACGCCCAAGTCGTGACGTGTATGAAAAGGGGGATTGGGTACTCTATTGGAAGAGGACCCAACAAAGTTCCAGGAGAGAGAAAGGTCGGTGGTATGGTCCCTCACAGGTGATTGCTGTTGAAGGAAGTAGGGTTTTGTGGTTGAGTCACGGGGGAAGGTTGGTCAGAGCCAGTCCTGAACAGGTCAGACCTGCCTCCTAAAGATTCCACTGGTGGGGTGAAACCGGAAGCGTTGGCAGAAGGGAAGGGTCCTAGGGATTTCATTTCACTTGAAGGGGTCCCCGATGAAGAATATGAACCCAGCGAAGGTCCCAGTGATATGATTGATGTTGAGATCCCTCCCATTTCCCAGCCAGAAAGTGAAGTCGCACCCCCAAGTTCTCCGAATGAAGGATCGGCGCCGGAAGTGCCAATGTGGGACAGCGATGATATGCAAGTTGACGGAATTGATGTTCCCGTCCCGAGTGACGATGAGCTGTTCGCGTTTGGAGATGACCAGGTTTGGTCTACCGAATCATGCTTTGAGATCACGTTCAAGGACGGTCCCTGGGCCACCCTCACCACGGAAGAGTGTTGTTCATGCATGCAGGTGTATGAGACGTTGTTGACCACCAATCCCAAGAACCCTCCAGCCGGAGGAAATCATGAGGTGCAGGTGGATCCTTGTTTGGAAACCCCCAGAAACCCCGGGTGGAGAGAGGCGGGCGAAAGCAAGGTTGGTAGTTTTGGGATTTACTGACCCAGGATTGTCATATGTCCCCAACGATGCCCCTACTTTGAGTAAGGATGGGAGGATGCTCTTGCTCCAAACAGTGAGTACTCGAAAGTGGAAACTCATTAACTTCGACGTGTCTACCGCCTTTCTCAAAGGGGAAGGGGATGGCCGACGTCTTGGTTTGGAAGCACCTCCGGAGATGGCACAAGCTTTACAGATGAAAGGAGATGATCAATGCCTCCTTCAGGGCGGTGCTTACGGTCGGGTATATTTTCAGTGGGAGGATGGTTCCATCGAGATTGACCAAAGAGATTACATTGAGAAGATTTCTCCAATTCAGATCCCCAAAACCAGAAGAGCCGAACTCCAAGACCCGGTGACAGAGAGTGAAAGGCAGGAGATCAGGCAACTGGTAGGTTCCCTCCAGTACTCAGCAGTCAACACTAGACCGGACCTAGCTGCCAAGATTGGGGAGATTCAATCTAAGGTGACTAGGGCAAGGGTTGAAGACATGCTCACGCTGAACCGTGTACTGCATGAAGCAAAGACACACCCAGTTTGCCTGCATATCGTTCCATTGCCATTGAACACTCTCACATTTTGTGCTTTTTCAGATGCCTCGTTTGCCACATGTCGAGAGCTGTCATCTAGACAAGGCCAAATCATTTTTGCGACTGATAGGAGGATACTCGACAACCAGCCGAGTGTTGTATGCCCAATGGCATGGTCTTCACGGAAGATAGCTCGCGTGGTGAGGTCCACCCTCAGTGCAGAAGCAGTCGCATTGAGTTCATGTCTTGACAGACTGTCTTGGATCCGCTTGTTTTGGAAATGGTTGGTTGATCCATCAATCGACCTTACAGATCCCAGCCGCGTTTTGAGCGAAGATCATCCAGCAGCAGTGGCAACAGACTGCAAGTCTGTCTATGATATAGCTACTCGAACTTCAGTTCCCTCATGTGAGGAGTATAGGACTTGTCTTGAATGCTTGTTGATCAGAGAGCGCCTTAAGGAAAGCTGCCGCATCCGCTGGGTGAGTTCAAGGGCTCAACTTGCGGACTCGTTGACGAAATCAATGGACGGTTCACTACTCCGCCTGTGCTTGAAGGAAGGGCGTTACAGCCTTTATGATGAAGAGTCCACCCTGAAAGAAAGAGCAGACCACCGAAACAAGCTCCTATGGGTTAAGAAAGATGGGCAGGAGAAAAAGACATAGAGAATTTTAACGTATGTGATTTGTCCGTTGATGGTTGATGACCGTTGACTCGCCGCCTCAATGAAGTGGCGGGTGGGCAGAGGCATTTACACCGAGGAGAAACCAGGGGTTCGGTGTCAAGGGACAGGGGTGACTGAGGACGGTCTAGGACTCCGGTAGGACAGGGTTCCACATAGGATTCACACACGCACACAAAGATATATGATATATATATATATATGATACGCATTGTGAAAGCAAGTGTTTGTGCGAGCCCCTCAAGGCTGAGAAGTGTATGGCTTTTCGACCACGTGTTCTAAGTCAACATTCTTTTGTTCTGAGCCTGGTGCTTAGAACACATCAAAAGTTCTTTTTTTCCAAATGATGTTCTAAGTCTAAGTCGTTGTCTACCACTATATAAGTATATTTATGAGTGTGCATACACTTGCGCCACACACACACACTCTCTCTCTCTCGCGTGAATGATGTACCAGGTGCTGCGCAACCATCGTAATTGTGTGACTTAGTATCACCAGTTCAGAGCCTACGGTGCGTTGCGCTGCAGGTGGGTCGGGGGCGAAATTGTGCAAGCGATGGCGTACGACAATCCTATTCCTGGCTTTGAAACTTGCATGCACCATAAGTGCCTGCACAACCGCACAACTGCACGCTTGCTAAGGGTGCTCCATTGACTCCATTGTTAGTGCTGTGTTTGGAGTCCAATTACTGAAATGAGCATTGTTGTATTGTGTTCCTTGCGCATTGCAGATGAAGCTGAGGACACGTACAATACCAACAACCTGCGACTGTGGCGAGCTTTGCCCAGCAAGGCACCAGCTTTTTTGCTAAACATATGGGTCTGCAAGGCATATCATTTCAACGCTGAACAATATCAATTGTCAGGAGTTCGACCTGGACGCGTTCAGCAGTGCACAATTCCAAGACGCTATCACCCAACGTCGCAAAGCAGAAGACCTGTCTGCTGTGCTCTATCCCAATGCGCTTGGGCACACACTAGTGGGAAGCTTTAAGAAGATCACTGCTTCACTAAAGACGATATCCTAAAGACGCCACGTATGCCAGTATGCCAGTACGCCACGATATCCTAATCACCGCAGTCCAAGGACGCCACGTATGCCGGAAAGGAGCTTCGCCTTCGACAGCAGTACTTCTTTGTAAGTGCATCGCTCCAGGAGATTCTTTCAAGGGTGATGTGCTTGGCACAAGGTTGCTGCTGCTCAAAGCTTTGCACACGACAAGTCTAAGTGGTCTCAACAGCTTATTTTGGCAGGTAGTCTCGAGCATTGAACGAAGCATTTATAGCTTGCCATCGCTATCATGACTATCCGTCTCAGGCATTGACTCAGCTCCATAGCTTCTGCATTTCATGACGAAATTTTGGGAGGATTTGCTGCGAGAGTTCATCAAGCGACCAAATTACAAGTGGGAAGATCTCCCAGAAAAGGCCCGACAGGAGAAGTGATTGCTTCCATGATTTTAGCTGTTAGTTCAGTGATTTTGAAGCGCATGCCCAGTGCCCTTCCAGTGGCCTTCCAGTGTCCTCCGTGTCATTCGATGGTGCCAATTCGTTTCAGCTTCCATGAGCTCTGTGTCAGGTTGCTGTCCAGATGAACGACACCCATCCCACCATCGCAGTGGCGGAGATGATGCGACTTTTGGCCCTTCAACTGCAAGGGTGACAGTCAGACAACAATAGTGAATGAATAGACAGTTTGAATTGGCTGTATAGACGCCGTGTCAGATATATACGTGTTTTGCAAGATTTGCAACCAACATCCAAAGGCTACAAAGAGGTCCTAGTTTCCGGCACCAGCCACATCACGCATTCTATATTGCATGGAACCGGCGAAACTAGCCTTGACTTCAAGGTTGATGTGCAGAAGCTGGAGTGGGACAGAGCATGGGAATTGACAAGGCTCTCATCAGTGGGTTTGATTTGTTATAGGTTGGATCTTCGGATGATGAGATGTTGATGAGCTTGCCGAGACTCCATCCAGAAATGGCGATGCTTTGAAGTACCAATCCATGCCGGACAGTTTTTGGCCCGTGTCCCATGCATGTGTTATGTAAGAGCTGTTTCATTAGTTGATTGCAACAGGAAGTGCCTGAACTACACGAACCACACCGTCATGCCAGAGGCCAATCCAGGTAAACAATGGATACAATGAAACCAGCATCAATGGGCTTTGCGGCGGCCAATTTTTAACGTGCCTACACTTCAGAAATCTAACAAGTGATAACATAATAGACATGAACGACATGAACTGTTTGGGTTTTATGCTAGTCGCTTGGCCACGGGTGTGGGAGAGTGCTTGTCACCTTCTAAGTTACTTGTAGCTGTGATTTGCTCCACTTGTTGTCATTCTTGGGGATGCAAGATCTGCTAACGTGAAAGTGGACGGGGCCGCGTTTTGAGAACACTTACGTAGCTTTTCCGGAGGTTCTAGGTTAGCTTTGCCCCAGCGGGGGTTTCAATTGTTGGGGAGCATGTTGACTTGTGGGATTAGAAAACTTTGACCGGGTAACATGGAACCGGGAAGCTACCAATGCCTTTACATAGGTATCCATCAGCTTCCATGTTAAGCCTTCCTGCAATGCCGTGTCATGTCATGTGACTTGAATCCACTTATGTTTTGCGTTGGGTTGTGTCTTTCTACACAAACGACATGTTACATGTTCAAAATTTCTCTAGGTACCAAAACGAGGGAGTAGCTTTCTGTCAATTGGGTTTTGGGTTCGGTCTTAGGTTTCACAGGCAGATCAATCGTTCTACTGCTTTTCTGCTGATTGATGCTGATGCAGGCCCTGGAGAAATGGCCCGTGGAGATGTTTGAGCGCATGCTGCCACGCCATCTGCAGATCATTTACCAAATCAACGGTATTTGGATTCAGAAGCTGCTCCAGAGGTGTGGGATGGTCGATGGTGCGGTGTTGTAGTGCTTTGTCTACTGACTACTGTAGAGTTGTGCGGAGTGGCGAAAGATTGAAAAATACATCGAATCAAAACTCAAAACTAGTGTTACTAGTGTGTCCTGTTTCTTTGATTTGAGCAACACAATGTTTGCCAGCGTGATTCACGACCGTGCTGCACCTAGGACCCATTTGGTTTGTATGGCTCAAGCTCTTGTGCCCTGAAGGTACGGTGATGGTCCAATTATTGCAGCTTTGAGCATTGTGGAGGAGGGTGATGTTAAGAAGATTCGCATGGGTCACCTTGCCATCATTGGTGCAAACAAGATCAACGGAGTCGCTGCCATCCACACTGAGATCATCAAGAAGGACGCCGTGTGCCCTGTAAGATCCTGTAAGTAGAATTTCAGGAATGGAGAGGAGAAGTCATTGTATTCAGGAGACCTTTCCCGAGTACTACAAGTGGTGCTGCGACAACGGGGATCCCAACAAAATTGCTCCTTGGGTCTTGTTTTAGGACCCTGATTCTCAAAGTCCTGTGGATCCCAATCGTTTTGAGAGTTCGTCGAACAATAGACCAAGAAGCAGCAGTCAACTGAGAGTTATGTTCAATTATGATACAAGACGACCTCGAGCCAATACTGATTTGACATCAGACATCCATGGACATGAGGTGAACATGACCAATGGTGTGACACCTCGCCGCTGGATTCACTGTGCCAACCCAGCTTTGAGCGAAATTTTTACAAAATATTTGGGCCATTTGGATGCAGCTTGATGTCAGAGGATACCATACAGTAGGGGGAAGTGCACCTTGCCCCAGCAATGCTCCTCTCCTGAGGCTCGCAAGAGTGGCTGACCGACATGAACAAGCTTAAGGTTGGAGCCGGCCGGAGTTGGAGCTGTACTTTGTTAGACTCCCAACCAGCACCAGTGAAGGAAATGCTGCAGTACAAAGAGGACCCCAAGCTGCATGAGGAGCTGCTGGGCCTGATTCAGCAATTATCCTATGTCCCTGGAATGCGAACCAAAGGAGGTTGCGCGTTAAAGACACCCTTTCCACATTGAGGTGGATTGCAATGAAGAAAGGTTGCAAGGCAAAGTTGGCTGATTGGCTGAAATCAACGATGGACCTGGAAATTGACCAAGATGCCCTGATTGACATCCAGAGCTTTGGCAAGCAGATTTGTTTCAACCAGCAGATGCAACAAAGTTGACCTGGTGCACGATCAGTCTCAATTTGTCTAATGTATGACGAAAGGCTTTGATGCCTCATTTCAGACGAACATGTAACGTAGGTAGGCTGTGGCAACAGTGGCAACGTGTAGGTGAAGTGAAACCTTGGATCAAGCACACTCGTAGATCTGGCGGTTGCCTCCAGTGGCCGGTGTCCACCATGTCAACTCCCAAAGCAGTCGATGCCTGGATGCAACATCCAACCAAGCGCTTTATGACGGATCCCATTTTTGCTTCTTTACTCCGCTGGAATCGTGTGGATGTTACACCTCTGCAAAACGCCGAACATCCTCTTTATACACCGGAGATGTCGATGGCGAGTATGGAGGCCGGGAGCGTCGAACTCGGTCTCGTTTGTGCATGGTACAGTCCCGACGGGCCAATGATCTCCAATGAGGATGTGCGACAGATCTGCGAGGAAAAACCGGACCGGTTCGTTGGTGTTGCCTCAGGCGACATCCGCGACCCTGTACGATGTGTAAGTGGGATCAAACACTACGTGAAGAATCACAACTTCAAGGCAGTCAGAGTGCTGCCATGGCTGTGGGAAAGGTATGCGGATGATCGTCTTTTCTATCCAATCTATGCTGCTTGCGTGGAATTGGGGGTCCCGTTGTGCTTGCAGGCAGGGCTTAGAACATGTATGCGGCATGCCTCGCCCCAGCTGGCCAAAATGACCGTTTAGAGCAGTTGTTGATGTTCAGAAGTGTAGCAATCAGCTGTAGGCGATGTAGACCTCAAGCTGCGACCCACTTCTGAAGTGATCATTTTCTGTCATTCCCGTCGCAGTCAGGTCGGACACACAGGTCCGTTGAGACCCAGTGACATGGGACGTCCAATCCCTCATTTGGAGCGAGTGCTGTTGGATTTCCCAGATTTAGTTGTGGTTGGCGGCCACATCGGTGCTCCCTGGCTGGACGAGATGATATTCCTGGCCGGAAAGTGTTTTGGATTTGAAGATGTTGAAGACGGGACTTTTGTATCTTTTGTTTGCCTGACACAAGCCAACAACTTAGTGTTTGCATTATTTGTTTAACTTGACCTACCATTATATAGCTATATATAAAAAGGTTATATACATGCTTTATCCTGTTGAACACTCAGGGTTTCCGAAGCCTTTGCAAGGGATGCTGAATCAGGAACTCATGGATGAAGCATTGTGACCCTGAAGGTTCCCAAACCTCTACATTGACACGTCCGCCTATTTACCATCACGATATCCACCTGCTTTGGTGGAGTACATGCGCGGGCGTGGTGCCAAGCGCGTGATGTATGGATCAAACTACCCGATGCTGCAGCACCAGGCTATTTACAAACAGCTTGGCACATTGAAACTGGATGAGGAGCAGACGGAGTTGTTCCTCCGAGACCTTGATGTGAACATACTTGTTATACGTTGTTCCGTTTTTTTTTTTTTTTAATGCAACTATTTTGTTTTATTACTTATTATTATTAATATTTATTTATTTGTTTAAATCATGTTTGTTTGGGCTTTATGTCTATGGTTCCAAGAAATATCAGATGATTTTTCGGGTCCGACTGAGGCGGAAATGCACAGCGAATCTTTAAGTTGCCGCATAAGTCGCGATTGTGAGCCCTGAAGCTTCGTGCTGTGAGGGTCGGCAAAAACTCGTGCGCCGCGAAGCTCCAGCCCATTTGAGTGTAATGCTGCTGCAATGCATGAACCCGGTGCTCCTCATTTATATGAATTGGGCAGGACGGATGGCAGGGCCTCCTACCATGAACCTCCGGGAAAGTGTTGTATGCACAACTGACTATGCACTCTTTTTTCGGGGGCTTGACGGGTAGATATTGTACTGCATTCATGGTTCTTGTGCAAGAAGCGGATGCCGCAGCATGACTTCAGCATCTATTGTTGATGAGCTGTTGACCTTGTCCACCAACTGACTGGCACAACAGTGGAACAGCTGCTCACAAAGACACCAAAAGAATCCAAAAGCACAGTTTCTTTGAGTTTCATGAGAACACCCGCACAAGCATCGGCCTTGGTAAACCAAGGATCAAGAGAATTCACGAGTACAAGAGGCAGTTGATGAACATCCTGCTGCTTGGCACGAGTGATTCTCAATTACTACTACTGCTGCTGCTGCTGCTGCTACTGCTTCTGCTTCTGCTTCTGCTTCTGCTTCTACTACGACGACTACAACTACGACGACGACTACGACTACTATTTTTACTACTACTGCTGCTGCTGCTACTACTACTACTACCACCAGCACTACTGCCACTGCTGCTACTGCTGCATCTGCTACGACGACTGCTACTGTACTATTATTCTGACTGTGCTGTTCAGGATTGTTGTTATATAAGATTATATAAGTAAGTACTCGTTCCTTTATGTAGATCTTCCACCCTTTCCCGGTGTTTTTGTTATGCAGTTATGCAGGTTTGTGATCCACCGCTACCTTGAGCTGAAAAAGAAGTCCCCAAGTGAGCGTGCTTCCTTCCAGAAACGTGTCGTCTTGATTGGTGGCAAGGCACCGCGCAGAAAGATGTGCATGAAGCAGCGCTACCCTAGTTGATGCAACTTGATATTTGTATTATTTTGTATTGATGGATTTTGCAGGCTGCCTCGGCATATGTCAATGCTAAGATCATCATCAAACTCATCAACAATGTGGCCAAGGCTCGTTTACGCAAATCGCATGGCAACCGAATTCGCTCCCTAGTCTATATATATATATATACACCAAGCCAAGACTTCTCTCAGCCTGACTATCTCCTAAACGCTGTCATGTTCCTCATTCCCGCAACTCCTTTACAAAGATAGTTACCGCAACTGCATCTCATTCTATGCATGGCACTATGCATGCCCATGCGCCGCCATGCACCTGCACAATAACAAAAAGTGGGAATCGGAAATATGCACCAACCAGCTCCCATGGCGCATTGCAAGTGCTTCAGGTGATCAACAATGATCCGGACACAAAGCAGTACCTCAAGCAACTTAGCGGAGCGTGGCAATGATTGAACATGCTTAATGAACGTAGTTTTGGCAACCTAAGGTTTTGCATCTGATCCTGTTTGGACACCGAGGTGTGCCTTCGTGCCGAACTATTGCGTGTCCGCGGCGCAGGTGATGATCCCCGCATCAGACATCTCAGAGCACATTTCCACTGCTGGAACAGAGCCATGGCAGAGTGGCAACTTGTATTCTGGATTCTGCACACTGAGCTTTGAGCACAAGTTGGTGATATTTCAGGAATGGAAAGTGGGAGCGCACACAAACGCACACATGTCACCACATTAACGTTCATTTTGTGCCGAGGAAGCCTCAGGCACGTCCAATATGAAGCCGCTTGGAGTTTGTTCCAAAGAGTTGCTGCAGGAAGCCGCCATTTCATTTTTTCCTATATTATTATATATATATATAATTCCAATAGTCTAGTCAAGTCTTTGTTGCACATGTGAGGTTTCTGTTGTTCACCGAACTTGTGGCTGCTGTGGGGACATGAACAATCAAGGAGTATGATTATATAGTTATATACATAATTGTTACATATATATATATCTATGGTATATACATGACGTAGCATTGTAACAACAACTTGGGGTGAGCCCACTCAGATTGTTTTTGTTGAAATCGTACGGCGGTTTTCCTTTTTGACATTCCATCCCTTGCCTGACTGCACAGGTTTGTCATGAATGGTGGCTTAATTGTGGGAACGATGGATGGTGCAAACATTGAGATCAGAGAGGAATGTGGCACCTTGCCTGCGGAATAGTTGTTGCTTTGCTCAGTCGCCAGACTATACATATATATATATACATACATATGTATTTGACTATGAAGGGCTTCTCTGCAAGATAGATGCCGTGCAGTCCCACGCAAGGTCATGACACAATGTTCATTTTTGGCTGCGAGGAGCACCAGGTTGGGAGTGCACAACCAAAACAAGAAACTTCTTGGACTCCACACCTTGTCCTTGTTTTGATTGCCGCCAGGTGGCAGGAATTTCTGCCAGGGCGCAGGAGGGCCACTACCCCATCGACAATCGCCTGCAGGCCTTGTTGCAATCTCTCACTGAATGTTTTTGTGAAGATTTGTGACACCAAGTGGGCAAAACAAGTCCTCCTGCAGGCGGTCTTTGATGCGATCCGGAATGGCAAGTTCGCCGGACAGGATGGGACAGTCTAGCGGTCACAGGGCACCCACATATATGCACATGCCAGATTCCATTCCACGATATTAGATGTATTAGGGTGTCCGGAACAAAGCGTAAATTGGTGAGAACTGGTGTCACTCTCTTGCACCCAATGTGACTAAACCAACGTCAGGCAGAGCCTGAAGCACAGAGTGAGTTTGAGTCGATCATCAGCCGCCTGTGTAATACCCGTGCGGCAGGACCCATCAGTTTGTTCTTTCAAGGGTGTTTGAATGCGCTTTGTTTTTAGCGTAGACGATATGTTCACGTGTTTGTTCTGGCTTCACGTCTTCCACAGAGACCGGCAGGAACTTGGGACGGAGACAGGAAGCTTGGCACCATTGGGCCCTGTTTGCGCTAGCACCTCCCTCGCCTAAAATGCCTATTGAAATGCTGGTAACAAGAAGCTAGTAGGTTGGAGGCCATCGCTACTAGGAACAAGAAGCTACAAAGTAACAAAGGGCATTGTGTTCCCGCACTTTCTCCTATGAGGCGAAAGAGCTTAAAGCTGAACTTTGGACCCTGTCGATTGCTGAGGTACTTGGTCATCCATGACTTCCCATCTTTCATCGATGCCCAGGCGCTTTCTCGTGCTAGGGCTACTGCAATCTGCTATTCCAACAAGTGATTGCACTTCAACCTCAAGCCTGGTCAACTTCAGGCCAAGGTGGACGAGACCTACAAGAACCGATCGCTTTGGTGCAAACTGAGCATCCAAGCAGCATCCTCCATGGCGTTGCTTGGCCAGACCGCGCTACGTTAAACCAGCGACTGCTCTGCTACTCCGCGACACTGCACAAAGCCTCATGCAGCTGCGTCCATCAAAGAAGGCAATCGTGGTGTGACAGAAGCAGGCATCTCAAAAAAGGCATGGAAGATTTTGGAACGTCGGCGCCATGAATGGATTTAACATATCATGAAGCCCGGTTGAAGCATACTCACACCGCCAGTCCAATGATTGCCTCCAGTGACACACACACACACAGTGCCGTGACTGTTGAAGGCAAATAGGCCAAACTGCATCCATCCCTGTTCGATCCTGGAGTGTAGCTCAGCGGTCGGGTCTGAAAGTGATGGAACATCTCTCATCCGAGGCAGTTCTCTACAGATCGTACTATCAGCGAGTACGCAAAGGCCTGTGAATCCCGGACCACCTAGGTGACCCAGGATGTGAAGGGACTGCATTGCTTACCCGTGTCATCCCCCTCCCCTCCCTTCCTCCCTTCCTCCCTTCCTCCCTCTCTCTTCCCTTTTCAGGTCGTCTCCTCCTTTATTGGTATGGTTTATCATGGTTTAGCCCATCGAGTCATGAAGTTTCTCCAGGTGATTTGGGGCGTCGTGCCAGCCAGGCGCCCGGTGGATGAGGCCAGAACGTGTTGGCACAAAAATATGAGAACAAAATGCTCTGTTTCTGCAACACTGGTCAGGAAATGGCTGCAAGGAAGAGTTCGATCGGAAAGGACAAAGAGACCATTGCGAAGGAAGCTGAGGAAAATGCAACTGCAAAGGAAGCTGCCGCCAAGGAAGCTGCTGCGAAGGCAGCCGAGAAGGAGGCAGCTGCCAAGGAAGCTGCCAAAGAGGCCGCTGAGAAGGATGCGGTTGCCAAGGAGGCTGCCAAGGAGGCCGCTGCAAAGGATGCAGCCGCCAAGAAAGCTGCAAAAGAGGCATCTGACAAAGAGGCTGCTGCCAAGGAAGCTTCAAGGGATGCAACCACAAAGGAGGCAGCTGCCAAGAAAGCTGCCAAGGATGCAGCAACTAAGCGAGCAGCAGCTGACAAGGAGGCTGGCAAGTAAGGCGGGTAAGCTTGCTTAAATGGGGAACATGTGTATTTGTAAATGATCTGATTATGTGCGTGTACGTATGCGTAACGTGTGTTGAATCATTGAAGGCATGCGCCGCAGAGATACGAAGTAGACCAACCTCAGATGAATGCGTGTATATACTTTTTAAACAATATATATCAGAACTTCATGCGCGTCCAAGCGACACAGGTAGAGGCCAAAGCTGCGGCCCCAAAGTAGAGGTGCGGGCACGGTGAACCGTTTAAGATGCAATACACCATAGGAGTGGCTGTACTGCGCTTCAATGCCAAACATGCACGTTGTATCATGGTCTCCCTGTCTCGCAAAGCTGTTCCAGTGCAAGGCAAATCAAATCGAGCGGCAAGAAGTTTTGAGTGTTGTGCCACAGCTATCGGCAAGTTCCGGGAAAGCGTGGCACAGCAGAATCCAAGCATCAGGCCTCAGTGCCTATGTTACATGCTTGATATCGCTTCATAGGATAGGGTGTGACACAAAGACATACCAAGACTTGCTGTTGCAAGCTGTGGTGTTTAGCGTTTCTGTTCATGGTCAGTTGTGAATCACGAGTGAGTGTTGTGAGCCTTGGACGGAGCATAGATTTGTGAGCCCTTGCCCGCGGGTGGTGCTCCCCGAATGTAAGTATGATACCGGATGCTTTCAGAAGCGCCAGTTTCAAGCGATGGCCTTCACGTTTCAATTCTTTGTGGTCCTGAGATGCAGTGTTTGGTTTGCGCGGGTTTTTGGCGCTCCGAACGCTTCAAATGGCACTAAGAACTTTGAGAGACACAAGAGCGTTAAGAGATACTGGACGCCAGCAAACCAACATTGCACAAGAATCCCACGCCGATGTGATGGGTCATAGTGATGGTTGAAGTTTGTGCAAGCCGATTGTTCCGGCCTCGCATCGTTGGCGTTTCCACAGATAGAAGTGATGTGTGGGCAGATTACTGGCTAGGCACCTGCCGTTGACCAGGAAGCTTGCTCTCAAGAACTCTCGCTGAGTTTTATCAATCATTTCATTGTTTGTCATTCAGCATCACACAAGTGTGCTGCTTGAGCTCATGTAATCACATGCCTCGAAAATGTTTGGCCGCGCGGTGCCTTGATTCATGACTCAGTCTTTAGAATGCTGTGTTTGTTGGCCTTTGATTATTTTTTCTCCTTTGATCCCTCTGTAACTGTGAATTGCGGAGGACAGTCAACGTCAACAAGAGCGCTGAGGGAGACACATGAGAGAAAAAGAAACGGGTGGAAAAGGGCCAGTGGTGGTAGTTGCCCATCAAGAAAGCGGGCATGTGGCACCATGTGGACTTCACGATGCTTCTGATGTGCGGTCGAGCATGTTCCAAGGTCGGGCTGTGCGGGATGCAGAGGCGGATTCCTGCTTTGGAATTAGGCGTAGCGTTTTTGGCAGTTTTGCTCAACTGTTCCCTAATTGTTCCATGATTTATGATTCAATGACCACTTCGGCCCTTGGATGTCAGAACTCCGTGTCACTGGAGCAGCTGCCTAAAGCACCAGTTTCGGCAGAACGCCCAGATTGTGTATGTGCGTGTTTCAGGGTGTTGTGAGCTGTGATGCGTCCAACGGTGTAAGCCAGGATAGTGTGATGCCAAAAAGTGAAGTGGCCAACTCACATTCATGACAAGGTCACCATGTTGTTTGTATATGCAAGGAACGGCCTCCCTTCCTCTCGACTCTCGACGTTGTTTTGGTCATGGGCGCTACTGTGTGTAATTGTGTGTATATATACAGTATGTATATCTACTGTATATTATATGTTGCTGCTTTGGGCCACCACTTTTCGGCATGGAGCTCAATTTTGCCCAAGTATAGCCGAACTTCCCGGAGGGCGGAACTGAGGCTGGACATGGCATGACCATGTTCATTTTGCTCCACTTTCAGCAATGTTGTAGCTTGCTAGGCAATGTCAGCCATCACTGGGGATCAGGTGGCTGTATACGATCGTTTTGGGCTCAGCCAGTTGCAGAAATCCAGCCTAGGGCAACGCTGAAGCTTCTCGGGCATGTTGAGAATGCAGAACTAGCAAATTGCAGTGCCAGCGGCAAGTCCTAGCTTGAACTTTGGTGAGGTCAGCTGCGCCTTTGGGGTGTCCAGGCGCAACAGAGGCTTCTCAATGCCAAGGTGCAGAGCATCACTCATTTTGTGAATCAGTGGGTGCCTATCAGAGAGACTTGTTTGACAGAATCCTTTTGGAGAAGTTGCCTGAATTAATCCTAAGCAAGCGGTGGCAGGTATTGATTTGGGGCCTTGAAGGCAGCAACGTTGAGGCGTGCAAGAATTTGGTCCTGGCAGGTGGGCAAAAGGGGTATTTTGCATCATTGCTGTTTGCATTGGTTATCAGATGCTCCGGAATGGTGGTGTGGTAATGCAGCGCGTTTGTCCATACACATTGCACGACAGATGCCGCATGCTATTGAAATGCACCAGGCATCGCCCTGACTCTTCGAGACCATCGCACAGTCACAGCTGCTGATGTAGGCACTATATAAATGGTTTCATTGTCTCACATTTCACACGGCGGAGCTGCGGGTTGTGAACTTCAAACCTATTAGATTAGAGTGTTAGAAGGTGAGTTTCGGATAGTTGTTGTCAAACAATATGCATTTCATTTTGACAGAGCCTGTTTAAGGGTAGATCCCTCTTGGACCTATATATTTGTTAACGAGTTAGCCAATGAGTCTATATAGCTGCTGCATTTATCGTGCCTGCACGTCGACGTCTCCGTCCTTGAGGCTTCAACTACTTCTTGAGGCCAGAGGATATAGGCAAGAATCGGTCCGAATGTGCTTCGAAACGAGTACAAGAGATGAATCCGCGCCTTGCATGCAGCATTCGTATGCAATTGGTCAGATGGTCTTGATTACCATAGCGGACAGGATTTGGGCGGAAAACGCGAACACTACATAACACTACACTACATGCTCTTTGTTTGTAGTTAGTGATGTTAGTGTTGACTCGTTGACATGCTGTGCCCTTTCGTTGCTATTTGAGTGAGGTTGCAGGAGGCTGAGTTAAGCAGTTACAGTAGCCGTTACATAAACCGTTCGGCTGCCTATTCAATTCTTTACAAGTTGGGCCCTCCCATCTGAGTGTAACCCGGGTGTTCAGATGTTTGCATCATTTTGCATTTTCCTTTGGTTTGGTCGACAGCTTTCACATGGATGATGGCCACGCCCCACTGACCATGATAGAATGGCCAGCAGTAGCTCTCGCGGTAACAATACAGCAGTGCAGTGTCCAAGGCTTGGTAGCGTCTCCTCCAGCAGCGAAGGGCCAGCAAAGAATCCAGAGAAGCTGAAGGACTGCAAACGGCAATGCAGCAAGCGCTGTCTTTTTCCTTCGCAGGTGCTCAACATAATGTCCAATGTAAGTATCCACTGATGCGTACTGATGTTATTCAACCTTCCCTTTTTTCCTATTTGTTGCATCTCGAGCGGTCAAAACCCAAACAACATTTCAAAGGAGCTTCTCAAAGGCTTTGACGTCGTCATCGTGGGTCTTAGTTGTTTGGGTTTTGACTTTGAGCTCGCGGCTTCGATGGATGCAGCTTGCAGAAGTCTAGGCAGCCAACTCAGTTTCATAAAATCCTTTAGCATGTTCTCCTCAATTTGGCCTTGAGAGAGCACAGAAAACCATAATATCTGGTTTGGGAAGTTCCCCGGAAATGCTCTCGTTGACTCCTTGACCTTCCTTTCATGGTTTCAAGTCACCAGGACCATCAGGATTTAGTAACATTTTTGCACCTTAAAAACGCAACTTCTCGTTTAGGACAATATAAACGGAGACCGTGTGTGTTGCTGTGGATTTTTTGTACATTTAGTGTTCCGGCCTGACCTGGCGTACGAAGGTGATCTTGAAGTATGAACCCTAATAGCTCGCGCTATCGTGGGAAAAACTGTTTATATATAGGCCTTTGGCCAACCGCTCCTTGAGCGTATAGCCGGTAGTAATTACCGTATACTATCCACATAGTGGCCGACGCACAACGCAATGTTCTATGTGCACGTGTTTTCCGTGTTCTAAGTCCTACACTTAGAATCTGCGACACCTTCTGCTTTTTTGTTTGCGTTGCCAGTCCTGACCTAGGGCCATTTGAGCCAAGAGCTGAAACAAACCCACAAGGTCCGGCTGGAGCCGTTGAATGTTTGACAGTTCGACTCTGTGGCTGACTTCATAAATGCAGAAACTGTTTGGGGCCTACGCTGGTACAATTAGATTTTTAACATGGTCAGGTGGGTATGACTTCCTCATAATTGTTGTTTTTTCGGATGGGGGTTGAAACGTTAGTGACCTGCTCGTGTGAGCGTTGGTGCTTCATTTTGGGGGCTCAATGAGGGTTGTCGCTAGATGTCGCTAGAAGACTTTTCAGTTCAACTAGACAGGCAAGTTATAAGGGAGTCAACGTGAGAAGGTAAACAGCGGACCTTGGAAGCGAGGGAACGAGATAAATTTGGATTTTCGTGGATCTTAATTTTTTTTTATGCGTTGTAGGTTGCGGGGTTGTTTGTATTTGGGACGTTAAATGTGCCCGGGCCGTTACCCAATGCCAAAAAGAAAAGCTTTGCAATATACTGGAATATATGTTGTGGGAATGGGGGTGTGCGGTGTACGTTTTTACCATACTATACTGACAGTAGTGTTGCTATACCCCAGCCACTGGGTGAACCGCACGGGAGCTTAAATAAACTTAAAACCTCTGAAAAAACACGTGTGCTGTGCTGTGGTGTTTGCAAAGGGATAGGGCCCTTCTCTGAGGTGCTGGTTTCTTGCTGACCGTGGCAGCTGGTGAAATCGCCTTTTTCTTCTCGGACCTTCACGAGCACATCATGCAGGATTCTAACCCTTGGTTTGTTTCCCGATTTTGGCCGCAATTTGGAAACAATTCGTTGGAGACGAACCGGTGCAACAACTGTTGCTGGGTCATTGTGTTGTGGCCACTTCTACGGGCTGCTTTGGCACAGGAACGCAGTGCTCAAGGCAGCACAGATGTAGGCCGGACACCGAATTTTGTGAAGCTAGCACTTGATACACGTTTTGGGCTGGTAAATGTTACGGCATTAGTTTTTGCCCGTTTCTGCACCAAAGCTTTGATAAACCATCGCGAGGCCAAACGGGGCAGAATCCAGAAACCTTTAGCTTCCCTTCCTTCAGCGACTGGCTGGCTGCAGTGCCTGCATTGCTGACAGGGAACCTTGTCAAACATGCAATAACTCCTGTTGTAAGCGGATGCCAATAGACAGATCAGTATAACATTTCTCTAGGCTTTGGGTGCAGCCCCCCTCCGGAAGCCAACCGAACTGCGTTGCATGCACGCCGGATCGCAACAAATCCAGGTCCAAGTGTATTGGGGAAGAGCCTTTGCACAGTTGGCAGTGTGCGCTTGCATTGTTGTAAGCACCCTAAGCGCTTCACGTGGTGATTGAGGCCAGCGCCGCGCCCTTTGGTCCCTTCCTTGATTTGTTTAAGCGACCGAGGAAAAGCGATGATTCCTTCAAACTATTTGGCCTTTTCGCCTCTTTCCTTCGGGGCAAAGCTGAGAGAGCTGTTCCAAGTGCTGCAGCTGATTTCGAAGCGCATTGTCAGGAGGCAGGCAGCTACAGTTTACTTCTACCGAATTCTCCAAGTCTACCATGTCCGTTCAAGCATACACCTAGAAGCTAGGGTTGGAGGCCATTGCTATTAGGTTGGAGGCCATCGCTACTAGGGTGGAGGCCATCCCTATTAGATTGGAACAATTTCCTTCCGACCTTATCGCAATCCTAAGCCCTCAGGTTAAATGCCAGCCAAAAGTTGATGGGTTGCAGACAATGCAGCAGGTGCAACCGACAAGCTTTTTTTTTTCCCGTTTGATTTATGTATTGTGCTCTAATGGCAGGCGTTCGGCCATTTCTTTGTGGAGCCATTGGTCCATGTGGCCTCTGTGCTTGGTGGTCTTTTATCCCAGGAGGTGATCAAGGCGAAACGCCAGTCTGAATGACATTGCGCAATCGTGTGCTGTTGTTGGCATACTTTAAGAACTGTCAATGATCAAGGCATGAAAGAGAGAGAGAGAGAGAGACACGAAGCACATGTTTTGCACGCGCTTTGGGAGCCGTTCAACCTTTGCAACTTTGCACGTTTGCATATGATCTTGTATGACCATTTGCACGTTGCGTGCCTGCTTTGCAGATACAGCTGTTCTGCTCTCAACGTAGCTTTCGTGTTATTACTCCGCCACCATGACTCATGGTGAGAGCTCCGGTGTTTGGTCCACCTTTGCTACCTCACAAAGTGGACTTGGCACTGTTGCATGGCACCAGGACCTCACGTGGGATCTCCTGACTGCAGTTCTGGTGCTTTTCCATTTCTATCTTCTTCGTGGGCTACTTCGTTGGCCCTCTACAAAAGCTTGCCCCAAGCAGCCGGAATTAGTCAAAAGGGAACTTACACAAGAAGAGGCCTTTTGCAAGAAGGTCTTAACGTGCCAGGGCTTGCAAGATGCTGAAGGATCTGCTTCTGCATTCCGGGAGGTTGGGCAGGATGTTGGAGGCTATAGCCAAGCTCCTGCACTGCTGCTCAAGACCTTCAAAATGTCAGAGTGTACTGGCTCCATCGCGTGGGAGCTCTACAAGGACACAAAGGACCGAGTAGAGTACTCCAGAGTGTTATACCATGCGGTCATCTCTATCCTATTGAAAAGCCAAAACGTGGACTATGCGATGGACGTGCTTAGGGACATGACGTTGCAAGATGTGCTGCCAGACTCCTATGCCTATTCCAGCATCATCCGTGCCCATTTGGCCCGTGGAGATCTGGAAAGCAGCATGCAACTGCTTGGGCAGATGCAGCGCCAAGAGATCTCTCCAGACTTCTCGACTTTTCAAGCAGTCTTGGAGGCCTGTGCTCATCGCCAGCTTCTCGTTTTGGCTGAGGAGGTTCTACGAAGCATGGAGTGCTGCAATGTCGCACCTGCTTCATGCACCTTGGCCACCATGATCCGTCTCTATGGCCGCAATGGGGACTTGGGCGCAGCCCTTCAAACCTTCAGGGAGATGCCAAAGAAGTTTGGATTTTCAGCGGATTCTCATGCTTTTACCTGCTTGATTTCCGTGTGTGCTGCTGAGGGTGAGATTGCCGAAGCTTTTCAGGTCTACGAACAGATGTCCGCTGTAGGGTATCAAGCTGATGCAACCTGTTTCAAGGCCCTTCTCAGTGGCAGCCTCCAACAAGGGGATCTTGATACTGCTGCACGGCTCATTAGTGATGCACAGGCACAGGGCCTTGGATTAACCCGTGACTCCTTGGAGCTCTTCCTCTTGCAATCCGTGCGTCGTGGCCGACATGAACTTGCAGTGCCAGTCCTGGAGGAGGCGCTTCGCACGGGAATCTACATCTCTGAGCGTATCGTTAACAGTGTTCATCGTGCTCAACAGTGAGGCAATGTCTCACGTCTCGAGTTTGACTCTTCCAGCTTGGGCAGAAAACAGCTATATATAATGCTATATAAAACATTCATAAATAACTTATATAACGCTGACGTGGTAGGGTTGGGGATGGATTAGAGTCAAGGCTATTTGATAGATCTCTGCCAGGCTATCACCCGAAAAGATCCACCACTAGCCTGGCCCTGATGCAATTTGATTTGGCATTCTTCAGGACTTGGTGACGAATTGCCCAAAGCAACCCCGAGCATATTGTGTAAATTAAAAATGATATTCAGGGGCCAGGGGGCCAGGGGGCATTTCTTGCTCACCTTTTGTACATTTAGGTCAACAGCGTGTGTTTCAACGCGCACACTGGAGCAGCGCTGGTGGAGCATTGCCCCGCCAAGCCTGCAGCTCCAGTAAAGCGAAAGGCGGAGGAGATGCGGGCCAGGTGGTAGACTCGGTAGACTCATTGAAGGATCTAGAAGCTGCTGTGGCAGAAACAGAGGTTGACCCTTGGTTGGTGCACTTGGATGTAATGCAATTGGCAGACAAACGCAAACCATGTAGATTATTTTTGTTTCTTCTTCTTATTTTTTAAAATCCTTTTTGCTCTCGGCCCCCTTGGATTTTTGCACTTGCGCATGGAGTTGCAGTGCAGGATGTTGCTGACCTTCTGGATGACTGATATGGGGCCAAGAGGGCTCAGAGGTTGGAAAGTTGCTGATGGATCGTGAAAATGGACCGTTGCAAGATGTTGGGTAAACGGAGTTAGCCTGGAAAGCAACATGCACCGGGCTAGAAAACCATGCGTTTTACATCGTCTTGGAGTTCATGAACTTCAAGACGATGACTTGAGTGGATTTTCAACACACTCAAACAAGACAGGCTTTGCTGTCCAGTCTAAGATCAGCGTTGTCCGAGTGGCCCGCGGTGGAGATAGAGAGTCTCGCATCCAACTCTGTGTCGGACACAAACGTCTTGAAATAACCCACAATGCACTGCACAAAAAAGGTAAAAATACCTGCAGTATCCTGTAGTTTCGAATAAAGTGAGAATTCCAAGCGTCGAATGTAACGTCGAATAAGAATGAATAAGAATATAAGACAATCCGAAAACCGACAAGAAGATCAAAACGGTGATCGACAGGTTAACAATGAAACCTCCTGAACAAATGACAGAGTCGGATCGGAGACACGAGAGCAAACATCAATGTGGGCATCCAAGACAAAGGGATCAGCCGCGAAAAAAGTCCCTCAAATGCTGATTCGCGGAAGGACGCTTCAAACCGGACAAACGCAACAAAAGAACTAACGACAAACGCAAGCAAACCTCACACGTGGTCCCCGCCATGTCCTGTAAGCCGCAATCGCAACGCGTGTCTAGTCATGCGAGTCGAAACCCGAACGAAACCCCCGAACGAAACTGTCCCCCTCACTCCCCCCACCAGAAAACCATGTTGAGTCATCGGGAAGGTTTGCTTTCCGGGCTAACCCCCCCCTTGACCTAATTATATATGTTGCAATCAAAGAGTCTTGATTTATCTTGATTTTTCGAGCCGCTTTGCACTTGTGTGAGCTCTGAAACTCCTTCCTGAAAAACCGGCTGAAAGTGGTCGCCTGCCAAACTCAGGCGCGGACGCCTCGTGGTGAGCTGCCAGCTCCCACCTCAGCCACACATGGGTGAACAGAGAGAAGCTAATTACGTAAGACGTAAGATTCATGCGATGGTGCAAACGGTCAAGATCCTTCAGCTGCAATTGCAAGGCATGGCCTCGATTGTATGTGGATGTTGACACCGAGGTGGTGCCATCTCCCGCGAAAAAGAGTAGCGCTTTGGCATGCATTTGGTTTCATGTGTCCAACATGTTTCGGGAATCATCCAAACACTCAACCGAAACACATCATGCCACAGTTGTAGTAGTGATACATTTTGATATGAGAAATGACCCCAGCCCAAGAAATAAATCCATGATTCTAATGCAGTTAGAGATGGTTTTTAACACGTACGACAGATATTGTGATATCGTATGACGCAAATGGCCGACATTTGCAGCCTTGTTCACAGTCTCGAGACTTGTGTGTGAAACTCACTCTATGAGGAACATGAGGAACGTGGAGAAGAGCTTGTGCCTTTTCTTTGCACCCTCGCCGATTTTAGGTCGAGAGTCTGAGACAAGGCCGCCGTCTATGGTGCGGATTCCAATACAGAAACCGCTTTGCAACTCACTCGGAGAAGAACGAAAGTCCTCCGCCGGTGATTTTGTCCAAGTTGGGAAGGGATCAGGCAGTTCAGGTCACTGAAACCTGCCACTGACTGGGGCCATCAGTAAATTCCCTCGGCTATGGCGACAAGAAGAGAGGGTGTATATACACGGCGCGGGTGGTAGGTGGTGACAGACAAGCGTAATAGTTTTGCTCTAAGGTCAACTTGAAGAAGCTCCCTGTAGCCACTGGCTTTTGCCTGCTCACCCCACCCAATGTTTCTTCTACACCTAGTCAAAGGCAGTTTGTCCTCTATCAGAGCCAAGCTTTTTCCATCCACGATTTGCCTAAGGCAGATGAACGCTACATGCCCTCGCGAGGTGGGATGACCTGGACTACTGAATGACGCACGGGATTGCTTAGAGCTGTGAACATGTCCTGTGGGGCATAAGAAGGTGACGAGAACTTAAATATGAGTGAATCAACCCGAATGACCACAGCAACACGGAATGAGTTGGGGGACTCCTCAGAGTACTGTCACTGTGTTTTCTGTGAGAACTTCAATATGGTTTTCTTGACCGACCCTTTCCCGATTTCTTGTCTCTTTGCCCAAGATGACTGAACGCAGAGCTCAGGTTTGTTCGCACAGACGCTGCGCGCAGACAGGCGGGGCTTCTGGCGATTGTAGCACGAAAAATGAGCGAGCCACAAGAGATCATCGATAGAAAGAGGGATAGAGGAAACAAGGAAAGCAGGGAGCGAGGGTAGCAAAGGTGCAAGAAAGGAAGGAAGGAAGCAAGCAAGCAAGCAAGCAAGGAAGGAAGGAAGCAAGCAATGAAAGACAGACAAAAGGCCAAACGAGAAAAGATGAGCAAACAACCCACACTCAAGGCATTTTGATGCCCCTGTCAGCATTGAAGGCATTTCCTACAAGCGGACGATGAGATCCGCATGGGGCTTGGCGCTAGTGTCCCGGAACTGGCACCTAACTACGCTATCATTTACTAGCAAGTTGAACTTGCATTTATTGCCCCAAGCCGAACAGTGGACAAACAGTGGTTTTGTAATGTTTTGTATGTGTTTCTGCTACTTTGATGCAGGTTCCACTGCATCTGATGGGTTTTTCAAGCAACACGTGTTGCAAGAACCTTGAGGGCGGTTTTGTCCGCCTGCATCGGAAACAAGCCGTGAGGACGGACAGAGAGAGAGAGAGAGAGAGAGAGAGGAGAGAGAGAGAGAGTACATACAGTAATAATATATTGTAAGTTATGTGATATATATAGTTTTTGATTGGAATTGGACTTCCTTGCTTGCCAGCCGTTGGTTATCAAAAAAGTGACAACCACCCAGCCAGTAGTGCTTTCGTGTTTCGTTGCTGTTTCTGTTTCGGCCGAGGTGTGAGTAGAGTGTGGGCACCTAGCGAGGATAAGAAAGGTTTCGAATGGTTTCGAGTTGTCCTAATAAGCAATGGCCTGCGACCAGATAGCAATGGTCTCTAACTTGCTCCAGATTCCATTTTTGGTCCAAGTCTAAAGTGCTCCAGGTCAGAGGTCCAGCAGAGGTGCGGGCAGCTCGAGAGCGTGGGGAGCCTGAGAGGTTGATGTCGGCGGCATATTGTCAGCAGTAGCCCACGTGCATTCCGAAAAGTGTTTGCGCGAAACTAGAGCCACCAGCCGCAGGGCACAGATTTTTTCGCACTTGTCAGATTATTTATATATTAGTGCAAACTTTCAGGTATGAATTGGTTCTTCTGCACTCTTGAGCAAGATGAGGACCGTCAGCAACTTGGCCCCCCAAGGCCCGTCTTCTTCGGCAGACCGACGGAAAGAAGAAGAGGCGTTGTCTGGGGAGGCACGGCCTGGTGGGTCACAAACGGGCTTGTTCCCCACCCGTAGGATTGTGGGGTTGTTAGATTTTTAGAACTTTGGACTTCAGTACGCCCGGTAGCCCAACTTAGCTCTTCCACAGCACACTGGCCAAAGTGACACCTGAGTAGCGCAACTTAGCTCTTCCACAGCACACTGGCCAAAGTGATCCCTGAGTAGCGCAAC